TAGTAAAGAGGTGTATACCACCAGTCTTAAAGTACTGATACCATTTGTTGCAAAAAGCTACACATGTCCACTATATATCGGAAGCGAAAAGTTTGTACAGATTTTTCATTTAGTACAGTTATGTTAATTTTAAGTCTTCATGACTGTTTGGGTTCATTAGGTTGTGAAATTTCCCCCACACTTTCCTTTCTTATCAATGAGGTAAAACCGACCAAATTTTCAGTGAAGTGTTTACATACTTCGCTCTGTAATACAACTGGTAAAAACTTCTCTTAGTCTACTATAGCACCGGTGTTTTGATACTGCCATTTCTTATGGTATTAAGTTGTAGTCTCTGAGTGACTGGCGGTTGCGTTGGTCGGACAGTGTCCTCAAGCAAGCGACAACTGGGCTGCTAGCCTCATTTTAGATGCACAGGCCTTCAACACATACGAGCAGGATGTGAGGGTAGTGTAATTCATGGTGGGTAAGTACACTACGGATTACAAGATGTATGTTGGTTCTGAAGGCACGTGCCGCGTGGAAGGAAGATAGAAAAGTTTGTGCGTTAGGCCTAGGATACGTTGTTCCTAACGCCTTTATTTCTGTTTTTCAGCCGTTCATAATGATTGTCTTCGTATTATGCGTGATGGACTCGATGATGCCCAGCAGACTGTTGACGTCACTGGAACTTTCCTTTCGACAGCAACCGGACGTTGGACAGTTTGCTAGATCGATGTCGTGGTAACAAATAGCTGAAACGGAAATTCAGTAAGATAATTACCACTACCATCGGTCAAGTTTATCATTGTTGTGAAGCCAATGCATGTAACTTTTGAAAAGTGGCGATACAAAGTGAGTTACTGGTTCATGGCAGCATACTGTATTCACCTCATCTGTGACATCCAGTCCATCTCCTGGCCGGTCAACTATGTACATGCATATAACTTGGTAATACCTCATATTATGATTGCTGTCGACTAGGCTTGTGATCCAAGGTTCACCGCGCTCAGTAGTTACCTGATAAAACTGGTAAAACACAGCTTTGAGGTCGTCCCACCTTACTAGCTCTTCCAACACCATAAATAGGAAGAGATACAGCCGAATCATTACTCACTTCCTTAAGAGTCAAGTGCGTGTGCGCTATACTATTACCCCACCTCTTGACGTAATAAAAAACCCAAACTTCTCCCATCGAATAACCAACTGGCCAAGTGATCTGAGGACCTGGAAGCGAAAGCACAAAACACGCAGGCTTTCTGTGCTCTCACCATTGGTGTTAGATAGTGAAGACCGGACCCCCAACCGTGTCAGGTCCCTTGAATACCGACGTGTCTTGCTTCATCCCTATTCCCCTCGGAAATGACCACAAATACGCCTTTCCGGTCGTGTCTTTCCTCTCCTCCGGACATCGGTAGAGAAGTGCGTTCATGACGTTCAACATCGCCGGAGATTACCAGCAAGGATAGGATCAAATGGGATAGCCGCGGCAGTGGCCTGAAGCCTCCCACGTACTTCACATCTGACTGCAACGATATCGCCCGAGTTGGTGGCTATCAACTTCGGGTGCCGAAATCCTCTAGCCAAAGTACTGCAACCTTGCCACGCGGACATTAACAACACCAGCAGGAAGGTTTACCGTTGTAAAAGCAGGCCCGGGACACTGCGACAACGGCAAACGGCAGACCCCCAGTGTTGAAGTCACCATTGCTGTTGACGGACATAACGCTTAAACTTGCCTCGACTCCATACTACCCCAAGGAGCCACTGTAGGAGAAAACACGGCTTGACCGGCTCTATTGGGATCAGCCGCCCTGTAGCAACCTCCACTACTGCACATGACCCCCTACAGCCCGCCACAACTATGATGGCCCGTATTCCTAGGAGCACCTTCAAGTGTCCTTACAGTAATTTGAAGGGCTTAGAAGTAAGATGGGGGACCGCGATTTCTCTGTTCCCACTATGCTCGAAGATTGTAATCCTGACAGAAACATGGTTAGCCCTGGATACTAGCGACATCGAAGCCAGTATAGATGGTATGCAACTGTTCACAGGAGACGGGAAACAAAAAGGAGGCGAGGTGCCAGTATTTGTAAGTGACCACCTAAAAAGTCAACAAGCCACTGAAACACTACTACTACAACGTGGAACACAACCGACAGCTACTCAAATGTCCGGAGTGATGTCTGTGGGACACAACTAGGTTGTTGTATCCAGGGATTTTAATGTCCAGACTCTTAGTCTTAGGCGGGACCGGGCAACCTGAAGCCGGAGGTTCGGCCAAAACCTACCCAACATTACTAGAAAGGCTACACTTCATAAGAATATTGGCACTGACACTCACTAGTAGTCGAGCGGAAAACCGTCGGAACCGGACTATCTCCTTACCACAGACCATCTGCTAGCAGAAGACATCTGGGTCAAAAAACCTTGGCAGTAGCGAGGAGAGTAAATTATCGGTTCATTGACTCTGGCAACCAGTAAGGGGTGTTGTTCAGAAGGCTTTTTCAGAATATGTCCCGGCAGTCAAAGCAACAAAGAGTCGAACCTCACGGCTGAAACGAGGCTCCGAACGTTTCTTGAAGGTAAAAAAGAAAACGTGGTATAATTAGAGGGTCTCAAGAAAAGAGCCACATCATAGCGCGTACATCGCCCTAAGAAATCAATACAACACCAGAGAGAAGGTACTGGGGGTCATTCCAGACGAATCTCGCCCAGAAGACTGGGGCGAACCTCAAGAACCTACATTGATTCATGGCAGACAGAAAATCCTCCAACCAAGGAGGTAGATCACCGAAACGCTTAGCTTCGTCTTGGGCGTACAACTTAACATGTCGTCACCCAACAGAAATTGCCAACTGCCCGAGCAACCTTCAGCACTAATCAATACAGTGGAGTTGCACGGACTAAAAGTGACCCTTGCTATGGTCCTCGAAAGCTGTCAAAGCTGTGTGCAAGGGAATCACCAGGATACGATGACATTCAGCCATCCGGGTTGAAAATATGTGCAGGCCCCCTACACGGTCCGCCGTGTAACGTCCCAGCAGTCCTAAGGCGAACACATGCTTTCCCGAGAGTGGAAATGCTCTTTTCTGCCTCCCAAAGGAGGAGGGGGCAGAACCTCAAACACTGCCGTTCCATTGCACTTCTACCAGTGCTGCTAAAGGTAATGGATAGCCCGCTAGTCGACCACTTCAGGGAGTACTTGGACGGGGGAGGGAGAACTGAATGGTGATGAACATGGCTTCAGAAAGGGAGAGTCCTACGCCCCAAACCTCCTGGCAGCCAATGACAACTAGATGGCATCCTCGGACATCCAAGTTCCTGTTCGTATGGCTTTCCTGAATTTTGCCAAGGCCTCTGATATAGTCCCATGTGTCGTTCTCATTCGCAAAATATCAGGGTTGGGTATGAAGGGTCAAGTGCTCTCCTGGCTGAAACAGCAGAGAACTCCGCACAAAGGTTAACAGGGTTTGCCGAACCTGGAGGATATCATCGTCAGGTGTACCGCTAGGGGCGATTCTACGTCCGCTGCCGCTCCTTCCTTACGTGAGCGACCGACTGGATCTCAGCTCCCCTATTCTACCTTACGCTAACGATGTTATGGAGAGCTGTGACGTCCAAAGCATAGTAAGTTGCACTGCAAAGTGATCATAGATTGCTTGCCGAGTGTTTGGATAATAATAGACTAGCATTTAATCTGAATAAATACCAAACCGTGTTTCTCCGCACCCGTAATTCTCGGAAAGTACCCTTCCTTCTCCGTGGAACACAACTTTTCCATACCGTCACGGAGGAAGACTTGGGACTAATACTGACTGACAAGCTAGATACTGGATCAAAGTATCCAAGAGATGCCCCAGAGTCCACTCAGTACTGCGCTTCATGCTCAGGTAACTAGGTACCTCCACCCTGGAACCGTTTCTGAAGCCGTGCAAGACCCACATACGACCTCACTTGGAGGTCCCCAGGGTAGCTGCGCCACCACGTATGAAAGAGACGTGAACCTCTCACAGAAAGTCCATAGGTCAGTAACAAAGGGTCTTGTGAGAATGAGACAAAAACCCTGTGGGGATGGTTTGAAAGACCTCTAGCTTTATTCTCTCGGCTACCGTAGGTAACGTGGTTACTTGATAACGGCTTGTAGAATACTGAGTAATTGAAATAGTCAGAACAGTGGAATTCTACCAAACAGTCACTGTGGTAATCCTCGAGGTAACTCATGTGTGTTTGCGCTTCTTCTGCCTGCGAGTTTGCGGCCACTGGAAAGCATTGCCTGCTAAGATTGCTACTGCTACGTCTGTTGACAGCCTCAAGAAGAGTCTGGACAGCTACGCAGCGACAAACGGTTTACACTCATCCAGCTGCGATATAAACTAGGTTGATAAAATTTCATAACTCCGCGCAACCCACCACGGCCAACCCTGTACCGAACTTCTTGTACAGCAGCAATCATCACGAACCTGACTCAACTTTATACTTCCCTATGGATATCACTTACAGCTACCATCCCCTACTAATAGCACTACTATCTCTGTTACAATATCCCGTCGTAAAATCTAACTTATCTCTTCTCTGCCCTCTGACTCTGTGATGCCACACCACTTATCAAGGTTCTCTGTATCAGTTACCTCCCATGAATCTACGTAGGTTTCTCCTTCGCTTCTATTCCGCTTCCCTTCGCCTTTTTTCTCCGCACTTCCTCTCTCTTGATTTTTCTGGACTTCTTTCCCATCTTCTTTTTACAACCAATCCAACCAACTTTCCAGTGATATGACACTTGCGGAACCCAACTGCACCGCAGTCCTTGGAAAAATCACAGAATCCTTACAAATTCAGGCAACATCCAACCCCCTGTTTGTCTAACCACAGCTACAGTAGGCGAGTGGGTAGACCTGCTGAATCCGAATCCATCGAAGACATGGAACTGTTCCGCAAGCGAGCGTGAATAAATCAGTTGGCTAACACTTGCTAGTTAGGAGATATTGAACACTGGATGTCGGAGAGCCACATCCAGTGAACGGCGTTGTAACGGCCTCGTACGTTTGTTAGTTATCGTTTATTATTAGGCGTACGTGCATCTTGTGTACTTACTGAGTCGACGACCCATGTTTGTCTCTTCCTCTTTTTCCTTCGAGATTCTAACCATTAAACACACATCTGCACTGCAACAACGTACCACTTACCTACAGGCTAGACGAAACCCTGTCAACAGCTGTTCGTTACAGAGTTTACCCACACTTTAAATTCTGCATTTTGCCGTGCAAACCATATAGAAAGCTTTTAGCTGAGCTTTCGCTGGTGGTGTTTTGACTGCGGTTCATGTTTAGTCTCTTTCTTAAAGTCATCTTTAACGTGTACTGTATTGGTTTCCAGTACTGTATCGGAAAATAGTTTATCTATCGACTCTCTCCAATGCAACGCTGCTCATAATGTGATACTTTTGTCCTCTGGGTGTCTTTTTGAGTGACTGTCCATGTTTAGCTTGATATTTCGTCTAGCTGTAATCATGACTGGTCAACCAAGTATGAATTCCACTTCTTTCTAATGGTACATGTATGTCATGTCTGACAATATTTGGTGCCGAGGGTGGAGTTTTATTGTACATCTGTGAATGCTTGAATATCAAACTGACTCAAGTGGAAGAAAAGGAAAACGGTACATGGGAAGTTACGTTATGTGGTGATCTAATCGAAGTCGGTAGTGTACTAAAGACCATGCTGCATAGGAAACTACATTGGTGAACGGAGTAATATTAGCAGATGTTTCATTAATGTGGGAGTAAAACTTAGGCACTGTGGTCGATTGTAATTCCATTTTAGCCTGTTTATTAGAAATATCACCCAGTGAAACTATCATTTACTGGATTACGTTTCGAAAACAATTTATTGTCCATATTCATATCAGGTAACCAACTCCACAACTTCCAGAGAGAGTTTATATATTCCTAATTTTCTCTCCCCTGTGATGACAAGGGTAGTAGAATTTTCCATATATCTGGGACAGGTTCAAAATCATTTTCATTACTGCATATATTTGGTGTTGATTCGATGAACAAAGATTCGGTTATTAATCTCTCCCTCCACCCAACTGAGTTAGGTTTCAACACTGTCACTGTGTCCCACCCTACTGTGTGATTGTGTGTCATTGCGTGCATCGTTATAGCTGAGCTTTTCTCTAAACTTCCTATCTTATTGTGACCTACTAATCTTGATTTAGCCAAGTTCTTGTGCTCTGTTATTTGAATCGACCCTGGTCGACTGCTTTAATCTATGTATTTGAGCCCGCAATTATTGCAAAGGATTCGATAAACCAGATTATAACGATGTGGACGGACGTGGACTACAAGCGGGACTGAATGCACCAGTCAACTGGTCCAAGCATCGGTGTCTGGAAACTAATTCTAGCGAATGTGCGGTTATGTGTATTGACCATAGCAGCTGTATTTGATGGATGGGGCGCGGGTTCCTGATGTTCAAAAAATGAAAGACTTAGGGGTTATATTCAGCCATCTGCATATTGCACTAAGGCCGCAGCAAAAGGGTTCCGAGTACTATGGTCTCTTCGTCGGGGTATTCAGAGGCTCCGATAAAAACATGTTACGAATATTGTACCTCACTTTTGTGTCACCCCATCCCCATTATTGTATTCAAGCGGCCAGACCTTACTTCATGAAGTTATGCTAAAGCACAGGAACACGTCCAAAGACTTGATGATAAGTTAATGACCAGCCTGTCTAACATATCCTATGAGGACCGTTCAGAGACTAAACCTTTCTGCAATCTTATTCCAGGAAGAGAGACAACCTAATATTAGTCTTCCGTATTCGTGACAATGACCTTGGGGTTGGTGTCTTATTTCTCTTCTCCAAAGATAAATCATCCTCGAGGCCACCACACGAAAACCCAAAAACTACGGTTGAATCAGCATGCAGAGAGATCACCGACTGGAACTCGTTACTCAATCAAGTGATACCAGCTTTTTCGTTGAAAGCATTGCAGTAGAAATTAGATCTTCACAGAGAAACGTACTGCAAGGATTAACACTGGTAAGTTGGCCTACTATCCTTATTACTAAGGCCTGAATGCTGATACCCTGTAGACGAGGTGATGTGTAACAGCGGAGGCTGTTCGTGCTACCGTACACTAGCCTCATACCAACTGAATATATACATTTCAACCTAACCTTGGATGAGTACCCAACTTCAGCCGCAAAACAATGTCCACCCCATCTAGGAAGTGGTCGAGTCTGCGGTAACAAGGAAACTCCCACCTAGTAGAGATGCTTCCAGTGTGATAGAGGTTAAGTCCAGCGGAAAACTAGATTTTAAGCAATATCATAATAAGTTGGTGGAATCGGATACTTGTTCGCAATACACGAATTTATAAGATGAACTCCTAGATAGTGATTGGAGTTGCCGAGGTGCAACTAACCTGCCATATAAGACCCAGCATCGAGACTGATAATATCTATTCGACGAATGACGTTGCTTTCATTGTCCTAAAGAAAGCTTCGGGGGATCTCTCTAATGCTTTCAGTCCCACTGACAAGGTAACGCAACCACTGTCGAAGGTTTCAAAAGCTGTCAATACAACCCCGAAGGATTGTCACCCAACATCTAGTATTATCCTCCATAATCTCGAAAAATCGATTGGTGTAACCCTCTGTAAAGCTCCATGTTCATGATTCGCATTTAGTTAATTGTATCATTCAGCATATTCTTCTAGAAACCACTTAGATCTTAATTGGTGTAACTGGTATACGTCGCACTGTGTTCACTAAGTTGATCTGTTGTGATATTGACAGACTGCAGTGTCCGCAGCTGTTTTGTTTGTCTGGTAGACCTGGGCTCATTGTCACATTATTTGATCGCGCCACCTACTTCGTTTTTCTTACCAAATCAGGCTGTGAGTGCATCGATAAGCACAGCTAGTAGCCAAAAAACAAGGATGCTCTGGACATAAGCTGGTTTTACTAGCCTCTTAGCAATGCAGGTCAGCAGGTTGTCAAGCTCTGTTCTTTTCGTTAACCCCCTCCATTTTTCCACACTGTGAAGGTAACGCTCATCATGAGCCCCCCTGTTAACGAATACCACTCGACGTACACAACTCACCTGACAAATCACTTTAGTCGCTAACACCGAAAGTCGTGTTCGAGTACAGAGCCTTTAACAAAAGAGTGTCCCTGTCTGGAACCTCTTTCGATGAGAGACACTGCCATAAGACCTTGGTTGATAGAGTCGAGTGCCACTTCGTTCAGAAATACAGCTAGTATCGGCCATCAATAAGTGTGTTTGCATTCCACAACCTAGCGGCAAATAGATATCTGATAGATACATCCACGTGCAGTTCTGAAACCTGCCTGGTTTTCTTGGGTTTTCTGTTCCCGGAGCTCCACTTAAATATCTAATGATTTTAGAACCTAAACTCTTAAACACTGCGTTTGTCAAGTTAATTCCTCTGTAGTTATCACAAGAAGATTTCTGACCTTTCTTGAAGACTGGAACATTCACTGATTGAGACCAGTCAGGATGGATCATATATGTCTTTTATTTAGTGTTAATTTGACCAATAATTTGCGACCATCGTATTTAAATACCTCTGGTACTAGTCTGTCAGGTCCTGTAACCCTTCCACGTTTCAGATTACTTACAGCTTTCCCGACTTTTGTAAGTGTCCCATAACAATGTTCTAATCAAGATCCGATTAGATAGTGGGCAACGAGATAGTAGCTGGACGTCAGTTAACCTACTTTTCGAAGTGTTTCGCCCATCTCCCCTGCTAGTAAACCACATACTCTTTAGGCAGCACTTCCTTGAGGTTGCCATTTAACTAGGCAGGATAGTTCTTGAAAGTTAGAGGGATATACGACAGCCGCTTACATAGTGGCTTCTTCGTAGGTTTGTAGGATTGGGGAATAAGGGGCTACTTACTGTAATATTGTACTTATAGAATACCTTAGGAGTTTTGTGTGACGCATTTCTCGTATCCAGGCCTAACCCGTATTACAAATATCCAAAAGTGGTGACTTTGTCTTGCATTTGAGAATGAGTAGAAGCTTTGGTATGTACATGTAAGGCTGGGGTAGGATAATTAATGTGATCTCAAGGGGAGGAAAGATGTAGTCCGTTGAGTTGGAGTTTAAAGTGCTTATTTTGTGATAAACAGTTTGTTATTGTCATTATTTTTGCATTTTCTTTATTTCAGCATCAAGATTTCGTTGAAACCATAGGCAATCTTTTGGTGGTTGTAAGTATATGACAATGGTTACAGGGTGTTTAGTGTAGTTCCCCAATACTTATCCATTATCGGTGTAGGCCTCATGACCTCAGATAAGGGTGGTTTCCAAAAGTCCTCACCATCGGATCTGTCATGTATTCAAGCTTTTAATCCGTCTTATGTTTTGCATCACCCCTTAGTCTGTTGCTGTTTAAGCTGCACCAGATGCTGTCTTTGCTTCCTCCCCAAGCTTCTACTCTTTTTGCGAACCGTAATGGTATGGGTAACATGGAAGAGATTATAGTTTGTTGGATTGGCTATGGGGTGGTGTGACACTTAGGAAACTGGGGAACTGGTCAGAACTTCGCGACTGCTCCTACACATATTTTTTGTGGCTATTGGTGCCCTTGTTACAGTCTTGCTAGGTAGCGCTTCCTTGAGGTTGTTATCAACTGGATAAAATTATTTTCCACTGCTAGGCAGGCATCTCAGAATCACTTACATGGAGACTTTTTTGTGGGCTTGAAGGATTGTCGAGGGACAATTCAGTCACGGTAGCAGACAATGCATCCATGGGATATATAAGAAGCGAATGTGTTGTCCAATTTCGCAACCCTTGTTTTTTAAGCCCAGCGGTTTTTGATGCTGCGAGCATCGTTGCAACCTGTGTGACGGGGTTTTCGTGTACTGTGGCAGGTGACGGTGCTGTAATTCGCTAATGGACTCGCTTGGCATCTCGTCTTTCACGCTTGGCTGCAATGTGAATGTGTGTTAGGCTTTCGCCTAGCCCATTGTTTATGCTCAATGAGAAAGAAATAACACTGATTCAGCGTAATACAGGAATGGGAATATTAGATATGCAAGACAGTGAGGTCCTAAAGATACTTTAGTCTTGTACGTCTATGGTTGCTGTGTTGTGGGCACACGTCGTTTATAGGGTGTCCGCCTTACCTATTTGAGACTTCGCGAAATACTTGTCTGATAGCTAGTTCTCTGAACCATTACGAATAAGGTAGGTTATATTTAGAAATGGGAAAAAAGTGATGGTCGGGGGTAGTTTATATGTTGGGTTACTCTTAAACACTTGTCGCTCAGTCATTTCCACTTGAACAGGAAATTTGATACATTAATTACCTGGTAGAGTCTATCGACCGCCTACTAGCAACAAGGAACATACACAACAGCTTCAAGTCATATCCGTAGTATCGACTATGGTTTACGACCAGATTAACGTAGTTCATGACTTTCACACCCTAAATTTCAATATCGGACCGAACAGTGCCATGTCGAGGCGGCCATTCGATCAAAACCTGCTAAATGCCATCAAAAAGGCTAGGCCATATAAAAAGGTCGGCGATGCCATTCGATGCGGACCGAGCGGAAAATCGTCAAAATCGGACAATCTCTTCGCTAGTGACCACCCACTAGTAGAGCAAATTCATATTCAAATTCTTCTCGGCAGCAGCAATCACGCCATGCTGATGTCTTATCTGATTATTAGCAATCAAATATCATGAGTGTCCTCGCTTTCGTATTTGCCACAGCAAGAAAACCTAAATGATAATCAACCAATGTCTGTCAGCTGTTGGGCCTCATGGGTGGCGTTTTTACTGACTGACCATCACATGGAGACCAGTATAGGACGTCATCAAGAGGGGGATCTGCTTTCATGTCGCCTTAGTGGTAATAGCATCTAAGATGCGACCTTATAGATAAAACGAAGTCAAGAAGAAAGCATGGCTCTCTATATAAATCAGATTATAGAGCATAGATGGCTCTAATAAAGCGATGTAACACGGCGTAGGGGAATATGAAGTCATCCTATACAAACCTTGTACAGAAGCTTGAGGCAAACAGTGAAAACCCACATCGATTCGTTGCGAAAGAAAATCTACTAGCCAGGGATCATGCGTTGTAAAAGTGTCGAGGAAGGAGAGCTTCTCTGGACTGGAGATTACGGAAACCTTTAGGACGATGATTGACACAACTGAAAATACCGTCACCTGACCAGACTTGCTAACAGCCTGAAGAGCTTCCAACGTTATCCAATGTACAGTAGATACACGGATTAAAGATAATATCTGGCATTGTGTAGGAAAAACTCACAGGTCCTTACAACAAAGTCTTCAGAATGCGGCGGGGTTCGTCACCTGTTCTGAAACAATATGCGGGAGGCCTGTATGACCAGCTGTCAATCAGGGTGGCAAAATTAACAGAGAAGCTCGCACAGAAATACATCGGCTCAAGTTACCGATATCAATTCACCAGGTATCCTACGGTAACTAAGATTATTATTATTTGTCCCTTGGGTTCCTAGTGGAACATAGGGCTTCATGAATTTGTGTTGATTTCAATCAATCAACATCAAAGTGATAGGACCTGACGTTAAATGAGTGTCAGATCAAGTTGCCACACCTTCCATCATCATCTCAAGCTAGAAAGGACTGACATGAAAGAGAGAAATAGGGATGCGTCTGCACCACTGAGACCGTTTCATAACCATGTCACGTAAAATCTCTAATCACCGATCTCGATCGTCACGTGGACCCCAACTGAAAAGTCTATATTCCTTTACATAGTGCTGAATAACAATCAGAGACTTCAATCATCATCAGTATAAACATAGAACCAGGCATTACTGCGTAACGGTCCGAGTTGCCACACCTCATATCAGTACATCAAGTAAAAAGGCAGTGAGGTGCAAGATGAAGTAAGAAAATTCAGTCAAAAGAAATATAAAGTACTCAAAAAGAGAAAGGAAGAATGAAGTAGTGAGATTCGGCATAACGTTAAGATGAGGATAGTGTGTGTGTGTGTGTGTGTGTGTATACATCTGCGCCACTGACATCGGTTCTCAGCCATATCACCTAGAGTCTCCAACCACTGGTTCCTCTTGTCCCGCCAACCCCAACCACCTAGTCTGCATCACTCCACATGGCTCAAACCAACAGTCATACATTCATCCCATGTTTTAGTCTGGCCACCTCGAGCCTTTCACAGCCTCAGCCTACTTCGGCCAACATTGTGTGACGAGGCAAACGGCGACTAGGCAGACGTAACACGTGTCTCAACCATCTCAATCGATGGAGGTTCATAAGCTCGTCATTACCTCTTCTCACTCCTTAAAACTCTATATCTGACTTCTGCATTACTCATGTGGTGACACCACGAAGTACGGCCTATACTATGAAGGCAACGGTGATCAAACACCTGAAACCTCATGTCTTCCACCTTCAATGGTCATGTTTCACAGCCATATAGAAGAACATACTGGACCAGACTTCAATCACTGACACAATTTTTAGGCCTGAACTGTGTTGGTTTTTTCCCAAGCTAAACCTATTTCAATTAAGATTAGGCGATAGAGTGAAATGTCTTGATTCACACATTTTAGTTTTAATGATTGAATTACACCTTTTCTTTATTGATAAAGTTAATTAAGCTGTTTTTTTTTCATTTTCTTCATTTCTTACGGATTTTTTTCAATTTCTCCTTACTGGTAATCTGTCATCAATTAACGGTTCACTGTTGTACCCTAAAAAGTCCGTTGTGAAGTCATGATACGCTTGCGAAGTGCAACCAAATTCATCTCAGTCACAGGATTCACCAGACATACGATTTCTTTCTCTCCAACTTTGAAAACGTTTTCTACCAGTGTTGTATTATGTGCACCTACTTCTTCTTTTCTCCCTGAACCTCCATCACCACCTACTAACGAGCCTGTTTTAAATATTTTGGGTGAACCAACTTTCTCATCTCTTGGTTTGAATAGTTATTGGCCTTCAGGTTGGTATCAGAGTTTACTGGAAGTGTTGCATGTACAGCTGAATTTGCCATGGTGGGGTGCGATTGCTATCAGTAAGTTTATTTAAATGGGTATATGCGATATATTTTTCCGTTTAAGCAGTATTCTTATGAAATGTTCATCTTTTGGAGGATACCGTGAAATCATTATGCACTTTTGATTCCAGCAGTCAAGTAATATTATGATACTAATTGTATGTTTTGAAAGAGAATTAAAAATTCTTTTTATTTGGTAGTTGTCTACTTCAATACATTTTTCGTATTTCTTGTGATTTGCCAGTGCTAAGTTTTCAGCAATTTTTCTCTGAAGTTCCCCTAACCAGGAGTATATCTAGGAATGTAGCTAGGAGAGAGATTAGTGTGGGGAATAATCCGGTGAATATTAGTTTTAAACAGAGACTTTTGGGCTTTTTCTAATCATTTTTTTTCAACCAACTGTTTTGCATATAGGTGAACTTTTCATTTTGATATCAAAGCATTTCACCAGTCAGTAGTTCTGTCTTCGGACATAACTCTCAGTAGATGTGAGCAATGTTGAGGTCAAGCGGAAGGGTACTAGGCAAGATAGACAAGTCGGTTGGTGTGGTTGTGAACCTAACTCGATTGAGATAGCTTGGACATGTACTTTGCACTCCAAGCTCACCACCTACCTTGTCATATGCCAGGGTTCAGGGTGGCCAGGCCAAGACCTGGCGACTGTTTATGAAGTCCCTGGATGTTGGTCTTAGCTGTGTAGGGGGATAGTAACTTCCTTACTGTGGTCCTCAAAACAATAGGAATCAGTGGTTGAGTACTGATACTTAGTGATATGTCTGAGAATTGGTCACATTTGTGCAAACGTATTCACCCCTTGACGTCTTCTAAAGCTTGATTATTTACACTGACTGTTATCTACAGATTGTTTATTCTCCCTCACAACTTTGTCTACTTTGATATCTCTCTTATTCTATCCACCTGTTCTTCGTTTACTACAGTGAATCGTGGCAACTTGAACCGATGCATCACTTATGTGCAAGTTTCTACGTTGATTTTATCTGTCATTGTCAGGTATCAGTTGATCACACCTGTTAGTTAATTCTTTTTCAAATAACCCCATATTTTATGTTATTAGCTCCTTATGATTGTATTGACTCACTTTTTACTTTATTTCGCACACAACAATAATCATGTTCTTTTTATTTTAAGAGATTTCATCTCAAGTGTTAGAACTTTTTAAGGTTTTAACGAAAGCTTAAAGAAAGTGAAACTCTCTCTCTCTGTGTGTGTGTGTGTGTGTGTGTGTGTGTGTGTGTGTGTGTGTGTGTGTGTGTGTGTGTGTTCAAAGACCGTCAACAACTAATGGAGTCTGTTTTATTTCTTCATTCAACTTCTTCCCCTTGGTTATTTTATTGTTCAGTTTTTTTTTGATAATTTGTATGTGTAGTTAGTCTAACTGTTTAAATACAATAGATTATGATTACTTGTTGTGTATAGGACTCATTTATGCATATCATGTTGAAACATATCTCGCTGATTATTTAGTAAACACATAAAGGTTCACTTTATATTTTTATTTACTTGCCTTATTCTTCAGCAACTGTTATTATACGTTTGTGTTTATTTCCAATCATCATTCAACAGCGACGTCACTTGGCTAAGTTCACTGAATCTATGCCTAAATACAATATTTTACAAGAACGTTTAACACAAGCAAGATTTTCAGGGAATTATGTTGAAGGCAAGTTATGTTTTAATTGGTACTACTAGTTGACATGATTCATATATTATCATTTACAATCGATGATTATTACCATAGTTTAGGGATCTGTTTTAATGCATAATCTTTGTTGAGTTATTCTATATGAAACACTTATTCCTTCAGGTGTTTGCTAAGCAAGGGAAAATCAATTGGTGGCATGAAAACAAAAGATATGAAAGCATCGACAATTTTACTATATTATGAACATGGAACCTTGTTAAATGTGATGATAGTAGACTGTTTTCATCGGGAAGTCAGATGGTTAAGTCTAAAAACGTTACTTTCTATATGATTCCAGAGTTGTCGATTGCTAACAACACAGTACTATAAGCAATCAGTAAAGTTGTGCACTGACTACTAGTACTTCAAAAACTTTTATATGCATGATTGGTTTCGAACAGATATCACACCGGTGCTTGTCTTACAAAGTAGATAAGTGATTCACATTCTCCTTTTAGTTCTTCAGTATGATATTAACTGCCATGATATGCGTAGTATAAAGTGGAACGGTTGCTCATAATTTGGATAACACAGAAACCTGTATAGTGTCTTAACACTCTTCATTATTGTCTCTTCTGGATATCAACACTATTGTTTGCCACGCTTTCATTTTGTAACCAGTATCGACAACTTCAGTGTATTTATATTATTTACTTATTTTTCTCTTCGGTTCCTAGTGGAACATAGGGCTTCAGTAGCACGCCTCCATTGCATTCTCTTCTCAGCAGTCTTTTGAACCTGGCGCCATGATTGCTCACAAGCTTCCATTTCTTTCTCACATGATCTCCTCCATGTCACCCTCACCTCGGATGGGCAACTCATCGTTTCCCTTTGGATTCAACTCGAGGGCTTGGCGAGTGATGTCCCTAGTCGGTCTTCTCAGTGTATGTCCAATCCATCTCCACTCTCTTCCTCTACATATTTGTTGGGCGATAGGTTCTTGATTGGTTCATTGCCAGCCAGCCAGCCAGAGTTCCTTGTTGCTTATTCTTTTTCGGCATCTTATCTGATCTTCAGTATCGAGTGAGCGTAGACGGCAGCTGTTGATGTATGATGTCTGTAGTTTGTTGGAAATGCTTTTTGTGACGCTGCAAGTTTGTGAACCATATAACAGCACTGACTTGACATTGGTGTACGAAACAGTATCTCTGGTGTTTTGAAATATCTTCACTAACCAACCGCTCTCAACCTTGTACACACTACTGAAAAACAAATTCCATATATCCAAGGTTCGCTTACTTACCCGTTGATTGATGTCAGTTGTGAATTTTTAAAAAAGAACTATCATACTTCTGAAAAGCAGTTTATATAAGTGTTCTTTGTGGGTTTTAATCTTGATATAAATTAAGAAATCATCTTGCAGGTATTCACTGGATTGGTTGCGTGATATAATCACTGAGATTTGAACTACACAATCAGTTAAGTGAATAAAACATTTTTCTATTTCAAACTGTTAAGCTTGAACTGTCACCTCTAGTTACCCAGCTTATTATCACTGATAGAATAAAATAAACTGGTGAATAAGTATGGTATACATCTACACTCTATAAATGAATAAACACTTTTGAGGAAATCACTCAAATGATGATTAATTTTTGGAAATTGGGTGAGTATCTTCTTTTGCTATACGTGTATATGTGAGTTAAATAATAAATTGTCCATTCAGCTAACCGTAAACACTTTTTTTGTTGTTGAATAAGTATCAATTAGGTGCACAAAGTTGGTAGACAAGAAAAGTAAACTAGTTTATAAAGTTCTGAGTTTACACCATCTAATGTGACTGGAACTTGTTAAATATGCTGTGCAACCATTCACTTCAATACTCTATACTAGTTAGAATATGGATTAGATGGAAAATTAGTAAAAAAAAGCCTGCTGATCTGAGAAACACTAAGTTTATACGAGATTAGTAGCTCAGAATAAGAATTGTAACTGTTCACTGTTGTTCTTTGATAAATCTCAAAGCTCACAAAACACCAAACAATTATAACTACTTAGTGTATGTATAGTGACTGCAATTCGTCTATCCTACATTGCTCCATTGTACACTTGGCTATCAACCAGGTCTAATGTGTAAAGGTGAAGTAAACAAATCTGTAACCCATTGCCTTACAACCAATACTTGAGTGAATACGCCACAACTCCATACGTTTAGTTGATGGTGTAGTCGAACTGACTTTGTCTGAAAAACAACCTAGCTAGCTAAAGTATCTACGTAACTAATTCATTAAGGACAATATAAATCACCAATAAGTGGAACCTAGGCCCATATAAGCTTCTTACATGTGTTTGATACAGAATGGTGATTGAAAGTAAAATCTAGAATCCTAAATCGTGATCGAATTGACTTGTAAATTATCTGCATTATATTGTATTGAACTGGTTCATAAAACTCACTTGTGGATCAGGTTATAATTTCAATTCACCCAGAGAAGGTTTGGATCTTGTCACCATGTAGTTGTTGACTTCACATACAATAATCACTCCCTATGGTTAGTGTACGCCAATCTATTAAAGCATATCTATCTCTGGTAGTCTTACCCACTGACTTTTATTACTGGTAAAAGTGTTTATATTGAAATGCATTACAGTGTAGTAATACATTGAGCAATTATCAGAGATAAATGTCTAGTGAAATTAGTACTTCGTTTTCTGATGAATTAGATAAAATAGATGTAGGAATTCTGTATTCGTTTTTGTAGGCAGTATAGAAGGGAGGTTACCGGCGTCTTAGTACTACACAAATATGAATTAGTCCGGACTGTACACAAATCGTGACTATGATCTTACGTCCATTCTTTTTGTCTGATTCGTTAGACATTTGTGACTGATAGTATACTATTTGGTTTACTCATATACATATATACGTCCCAACTATTTTTTTGTCCAGCCATGCGTACTTCTCAGGAGATGCAAACATTTATGCGGACTAATAACTTAAACCCATTGAAGACTTTCAAATACATGATTTTCCAGGTAAGTTCTTATACTTTGCTATGCTGAACTTAAGTTCTTACTTAGTAAAAGGCTTAATCTTTGCAAATTACCTCATATTGACATGATATGTACTGTGTATGAAATAAAATATGACACTATTCTGGCAGTTCTAGTTTTACTAAGTTTGCTTTTTAAACTAATATGATATTGTACAAATATTATTATTATTACTTATTATTTGTCCCTTGAATTCCCAATGGAACATAGGGCTTCAGTAGCACGTCTCCATTGCACTCTATTCTCTGCAAACTTTTGAACCTGGCTCCACGACAGCCCAGAAGCTTTCATTTCTTCCTCGCACGATCTCCTCCATGTCACCCTCAGCTGGAACGCCTAACTCGTCGCTTCCCATCTGGGTTCCTCTAGAGGGCCTGACGCGTGATGTCCCTAGTCGGTCTTCTCAGTGTATGTCCAATCCATCTCCACTCTCTTCTGAATATTTGTTGGGTGATAGGTTCTTGATTGGTTCATTGCTAGCCAGCCAGAGTTCCTTGTTGCTTATTCTTTTTGGCAATCCATCTGATCTTCAGTATCGAGTGAGCGTAGACGGCAGCTGTTGATGTATGATGTCTGTAGTTTGTTGGAAATGCTTTTTGTGACACGCCAGGTTTCTGAACCGTATAGCAGCACTGACTTGACTAAATTGGTATTGAAAATCCGGATGTTGTTGAGGCTTTGTGCTGAATGCAGAAGATCTCCACACTGGTTTCAGGTTAATGAACGCCAGTCTCGCTTTTCCAATCCTAGCTTTAACGTCCTCGTCTGTGTCGCCGCTGTCTGTAGTTGAAACAGTGCTGCCTAGATAGGTGTAGGTGAAAGAGACTACTTCCTTTAAGTTTCTCCCGTTGATGGTGACTAGAGCATGTTGTTGTTGTTGTGTTGTTGGTTGGGCATCTCCATCACCTCTGTCTTCTCTGCGTTCACTTAAAGACCTGTCTTCGCTGCCCTACGTCTTCTGTCAACTTGTTAGTTTTCGCCTGTAGTTCTTCAAGTTTGTGTGACATTAGACACAAGTCATCACTGGTGAAATGCAAATCTTCTAGGTTCTTTTCGGTGGTCCAGCGTATCCCCCTCTTCTCGCTGCTCAATATTTGTTACATGATCCAGTCCACTACAATCAGGAATATCATGGGTGATAGTAGACAGCCTTGTTTCTTTCTTGTCTTCACTTCGAAGGCATCACTGAGCTTCCTGTTGTGAATTACTTGTCATGTGGAGTCTTTATATAGTTGTTGAATGAGATTAATAAAGGTTTGTGATATTCCGTAATGTTGAAGCAACTGCCAAATTACTTGTCAGTCGACGCCGTCAAAGACATTTTGAAAATCGATGAAGTTGAGGTAGAGAGTTGACTGCCATTCTATACTTTGTTCTATGATGATGCACAGCATTGCAATTTGATCCGCCCGTGATTTGTACTTCCTGAATCCAGCTAGTCTGTTCCGGTCGTAGTTTTGAATCCAGCGCATCCTTTAGTCTCGCCAAGATGATGCGACATAATATTTTGCTTGGGGTGGACAGAAGCGTGATTCCGCTCCAGTTCTTGTAAACACTGAGGTCGCCCTTCCTCCGGAGTTTGACAAGGTAGCCCTTCTTCCAATCTGCAGGTACCTCCCCTTCCTTCCATACCTTATGCAATAGCAGTGTGAGCATGTCTGATGTTGTCTCTGAGTCTGATCTCAGTACTTCTGATGGGATTCCACCCGGTCCTGCTGCTTTACCGCATTTCAGTAGCTTTATGGCGCTCAGGACTTCGACCTTTGTTGGAGGATTTGTGTTCACTTGTAGTTCTGTTGCTGGGCTGCAGGCGATATTTCTGGACGAAGTGCAGGTGGTGGTCGATTCAAGAGCTTTTTGAAGTGGTCAGCACATCGTTTTCTTTGTTTCTCTTCTTTTGTAATTAAATTTCCGTCATCATCTTTTATTGGTTTCATCTGTGTTGATCTCTTCCCAGATAGTAATCATAGTAACTTGGTTATTTGATACATTGTTGTCAGGTCTCTCCTACCTGCAGCCTGTTCTACGTCACTTGCCGGTGTTTCGTAGAAGTGTTTTTTGTCTTTGCGTGCACTCTTCTTGACTTCTTTGTCCAGTGTTTTATACATTGTACTCAGTTGCTCTTGTCGTTGTTCATCCTTGCACTGGTTTGTCTTCTGCTTCACCATCCTCCTCTTCTCTTTCAGCTTCCATGTGTCCATCAAGATCCATTCCTTATCTTTTTTCTTCTTCCTTCCTAATACTGTTGTGCAGGTTTCTTTCCATATAGCTTTCAAAGACTTCCAGTGTTCTTCCACACAGGTTTCTTCAGGGATGTTCCTCGAAATCTCCCATATTGTCTTGATGGCTGACGTGAACATGTCCTTTGTAGTTTCGTCCTTCAGTTTCCGGTTGTTGAACTTGAACTGTGGTCTGTCACCAACTTTCTTGAAAGCTTACAACTTGATTTGGAAGGTTCCTTGCACTAGATAGTGGTCTAAACCTACATCTGCTTCTCCTCTTGATCTTGTGCCCAGTAAGGTGGGTGCGTCTCCACTTTCTTCACATTGAGATGAAGTCGATTTGATTTTTAGTGTGTCCATCTGGTGAAATCGAATCCATGTCGCTTTGTGAATATCCTTGTGTTTGTACCCACTGCCTCCCATCACCAAATCGTTGAGTGTGCAGAAATCTGCAAACAGTTTTCCACTCCATTCATTTCACCGAGTGCTTCTCGACTCATGATGACTTCTCTTCCTGTGTTGTCCCCTCCAAGTTTGGCATTCATGTCACCCATTAGAATTTTGATGTCGCCAACTGGAGTCTTGTCTAGTACTGGTTGCAGCTGTCTGTAGAATTCCTCCTTTTTCTCTCTATCTGCATTACCTGTAGGTGCATAGTGTAGCATTGCATGATTGTGACCTTCCTTCCTTTTGAGTTGAATCTTGCTGTCATGATCCTGGAGGATATTGGTTCCCACTGCATGAGAGCCTTCGATGGTGTTGGGGACATCATCATAGCCACTCGAAAACTCAGTGTGCTCGTGGTTGTCGTCTGGGTGACAATATCGGAGTAGATTATTGATTTTCCAGTTGACAGTTTGGAGACTCCACTTCCATTCCATCTGCTTTCACAGATTCCAAGCATTTCCATGCCATATCTCCTCATCTCTTTTGCAATCTGGGCAGCCTTAGTAGGTTCATACATGGTGTGGACATTCCATGTCCCCACGTTTACTTTCGCTTTGATCGAGAGAAGAGAAGACACATCGGCCAATTGGCTTCCTGAAGGCTTTCACCAACCGGCGTCATTTCGTCTCTCCGATTCCAGCGAGGAATAATTTTGTTTTCATTTTTTATATTTTGTTTGTGGTTTGAAGTTTCTTTAGCGGTTAGATTTGTTTTCCGGGGTGGGGTTGCTAGCCGTGCGCCCAACCTTCCCTCTTTACCAGGGCTTAGGACCGGTTAGTAACTAGTGAACTAGTTAACCAGGCTAGGTTATCGTACAAATATATAATCTATTAATCTTTGTTATTGCAACGCTACTCATCGTTATAGAACAGAGCACAGAGTGGCAGTCAACTCTTTACCTCAACTTCATCGATTTTCAAAAGGCCTTCGACAGCGTCGACCAGGGAATAATTTTGCAGTTGCTTCAACACTACGGTTTCAGTGCCACAAACCTTTATCAACCATGCTCAACAGCTATACACTATATGACGATGCTACATGCTAAGTGATTCATAATGGAAAGCTCAGTGACGCCTTCGGAGGGAAGACAGGAGTAAGATAATGGTTGCCTACTATCACCAATCACCTTCCTGATTGTAGCAGACTAGACCATGCAAGAAAAAACTGTGATGAACGAGAAGATGAGCATACGCTGTTTAACCGATGAAGAGACCCCAGGAGATTTGGATTTCGCCGATGATGGTTTATGTGTAATGTCTAATGTCGTGCACAAACTCGGAAATGTACAGGCGAAAACTAACAAGTTGGCAGAAGAGGTGAGGCAAGGCAGCCAAGTAAGACGAGACTTCGTTCAGGTGAACGTGGAGAAGACAGACGTGATGAAGATACCGAAATACCACCACCATCACCAAATACGACAACAAGAATCACCGATCACTATAAACGGGAGAAGCCCACCTACCTACCCACCTACCTACCTGCCTGCCTGCAAGGCAGTATCGTTTGAACTACAGGTGGCGTCGGCGACAGTACAGATGAGGATGTAAAAGCGAGTATGGGAAAGACAGTGTAAGACAGGCCTTCATTGGTGTGAAATAATCAGTGTGGAGATCTACTGGAGTGTACTGAGGATGAAGCGTGGACAAGATGCGGATTTTCAATAGTGATGTGAGTCAAGGAAGTGAGTGATTCTATGTGATGGTTGATAGACTTGGTGGGTTACAAAAAGCATTTTAAACGAACTGCAGTCATACATCAACATCTGCCGCCTATACCCACTTGATACTGACGATCAGATAGTGGGTGTTGGGGGGTGTGTGGGTGGTGAGAAAGAATAAGCAAGGAGGAAGTGTAGACTGGTAACGAACCAACCAAGAACGTAATGCCTAACAAGTGTGCGGAAGAAGAGAGTGGAAATGGAGTGTATTATATTTGATTGAAGATAGACTGAGAAGACGTTTTGGGACATGAGTTGGCATGCCATGCGAGACCAGGCCGTGGAGTGGAGTGGAGTGGTGTGGAATCCAAATGGGAAACGACTAGTTGGGGGTCTGAGGCGAGGGTGATATTGAGGAGATGGTGTGAGGAAGAAATGAAACTTGTGTTTGAGTGGTGGAGCCATGTTGGAAATAGTGGAGAGAAGAGAGTGGGATGGTGATGTGCTACTGAAGTGCCGTGTTCCAGTAGGAACCCAAGGGACAAATAATTATTATATTCTTTTTGTTTCTCATTGTAACCTTTTAGACTTGAAATGCGCAGATTAGTTGGTTGGAGACCATCGGTAGGAAACCCTACTTCACCTACGTTTCTTGCTTATTGGCACTCGTCAGCAAGGCGTATCTGCAATCTTGTGGGCACTGATGCCCCCTTTTTATGAGACTGGAACCTACATCACATATTTTCGTCCAGAGATGATTCATCCTTCAGGTTGTACTAGCTTCATTTTTCATTACAAACAGGTATACAAATTCAGAATGACATAAGGACAGTGACTATCTTATTTTCACAACTGTCTATCAAGGCTTCTAAAACACTTGTTTAAGCTGGTGGAGGCGAAGTCGACCGAAGCACTAACATATTCAACAAAGACAAGAGAAGACAAGTAAATAAATAATACTGTGTTGGAAATTTAGAAAGCCTCAACATGTAGATGTGGGCTCGTCCAGTAGATGTCAATTTTGAAATCTGACCTATGTACTTCTGCCTTCGTTGCCATTTAGTCTCAATATCTCTCATGCAATATGTGTAGTACATATCCTAATACAAAAATCTATGCCGGTTTCAATTGGATTTGTACAGTAGGCATTAAACAGAGTCCATACCTCGATTCCGCCAGCAACTGACTTATCTGGACTAATGCAGTTTTCTAAATAGTTCAACTGGTTAACTTATCTTACTCCTCCCTGCTATATTCCTCACTTATAAGTCGGTAGAGTTCCTGTGTTTGACTAGTATCTTCGCATTCCAATTATATTAAGATGTTTATCCTTTGCACGGTCATGGGCTCGCACTGCTGAGGAGTCTCATACTAGGACGAAACAGCTGGCTGTCCAGTGCTCCCAGGTTTCCAGTGTTCCTCCAACTGATGTCAGTCCGTGACGAATTCCAATCTAAAAACTTATGTCCATGGTGTCTATTAGACACCAAATCTTGTCAACCTCACCTCCTGGTAGGAAGTCAAACTTTAAGAAATAGGAGGTAAGTACAAAAGTGTTTTCTACCGCTATTTCGATGACCAACCCAGATAATAATGGGGATAGTTGACGTCCGTTCGGGACGCCACTCGTTTTTGTCATCCTAGATGATAAAAAATGTCATCTAGAATGACGCCTTCACTATTATAATAGGATTTTGATTAAATAGTTTTTATACTGGGTGATGATTGAAAGTGAAATGGAAATTTGAACCTCGGCCGGATTCGAATCAACAACCACTCGGTTTCCGACCCGATGCTCAACCAACTGAGCTACGTGGTCCGACTGCTGATCGGATTTTTATTTCACTTCAACCACCATGGGTTTTAGCCGACTACCATATGAATTGTGACGCGTTACTATCGCTTGATCGTATTCACAGTGGCTGCCTAGTCAGTAATTCTCAGTCTAGTCCAAATCTAAGTGAATTAGAGAGTAGGAGAATCATCGGTGTGAATATGATCAAGCGGTAGTAACGCGTCATGAATTCACATTGTAGCTGGGCAAAGCGCTTCGTGATTGAAGTGAAATAAACATCTGGTCAGCAGTCGGACCTCGTAGCTCAGTTAGTAGAGCAGTTGGACCGGAAACTCGATGGTCGTTGGTTTGAATCCGGCCACGATCCTAATTTTCATTTCACCTTCAATGATCACCAGTATAAATACTAGTCTGCCAAACCACGGCTATCTCAGATAGTCAAATGATAAATAGTTTTTATCAACTTTTGATATACTGCTTCAACATTCTTTAAGGTCAAACACTGTCACAAAAGCTCCCACTTGACAGTTGATGCCTTTGTAAAGGAATGTAATTAGTGTAAGCCACAGGAAAATTTCCTGTGACTTAAACTCTGCTAGAAGATCAAAATGTAGCCGACACATCTTTGTTCTGATCTGAAACCAACTTGATTTTCTTTGTTTACTGCTTGTAATTCCAAGTTTCACAATGTATAATTATGAACCTTCGGAAACTACTTCATTCTATTGGATTTCCTTTTGGAGTTATCAGTTTGTTGCTCCACACCAAGTGACCCAATGGAGCTATGTTAATGGCAATATTTGTTCCTGATGTCCTATCAACACGAGAAGGGCTTTAGATAGTGATAAGACGAAACTCTGATAAGGGTCCTTTGGGAGAGGAGGGGAATCGTACTTCTAGGTTGGAGGCGAGTATGATATAAGTAAGTTGTTCCCCACAGATTACCAAAAGTTCATGTTTACTTTGTTTTCCATAGTGGAAGAGGATTTCGAGGTCAGTCCCCAAAATAATATAATCCCCTCAGTTTGCAGACCTTCAGTCCTGTACGTGATTTATATTGACAGTCAGACACTTCATCATTCTACCCACTTTGAGGCTTCTAATAATGCGTTTAAGTAGCTATTGATGCACCTGTCCATGAGCAATCTAAAACCTTCAATAAATAATTCACCTCTTTTACTTTTTTTTTGACAAATCTCTAATCCACTTATGACTAGCATATTGATTTCATAATTCTCAAATAAGATAATGGTAGTAATGATGGGCAGTGGCTAGCAGTGGAATCCAGGATTCACGTTTCATCCTATTCGGGACTCATCAGCTGGATATACCTGTCTCCCAGTGAGTGATGTTGTTCCCACCGGGACTCGGACTCGGGAGCGATCGCTTAAAATGCGAGAGCGTTATCCACTACATGACCGAGCTATGATAGCCACTTCTTTTAGTAAAGCATCTCAATATTCCATACTAAATATATTTTCCCTTATTTTATTTTTCATATTGCCAGATTCCAGTTTTCCTCTCCGTCTTCACTGGGATTCGAGGTTTAGTCAATTTACCTGTTGTAAGCATGCAAACCGGTGGAATTGGTTGGTTTACTGATTTAACACTAGCTGATCCATATTACATCTTACCATTTCTTTCTATGGCTAGTCTTATATTGACGTTTGAGGTAAAGAAAAAGATATTGTATTTAACCTCTAGTATATTTATAATCTATTGTTTTCAAACTATTATCTACTGTGTATTTAGTAATCACATTGAGTTGTTATCGTAAGATACTACTGTTATTTATCATGAGATGACAAACCGTTAGTTATGGTATAGTCAAAATATTGGCATCGGCTTAGCAAGCTTGTGCATGTTATTCATGCGGTAGGCAATAAGCCATCCCAATTATTTAAGGGTTTATGATACTATTTGTCTGCCTAAACCTCTTCAGTTGATTGAGCGGTGTTCAAATCCATGACCACACTAGCAGTTGAAAGTTAACTCCATAAACCAATGAGCCGCAACCCTATGTAGTATACTCACTGAATCATTATACATCATATCTAAAATAGTTTAATCCACATTATTGTTTTTTTTTGTATTATCCGAAAATATTCCCTAACAGAGTTATCTCATTGTTGTATCACTATTTATGATAGTCTAATGAATAAAAATTAAGTTTAATATTGACAAAATGGAAAGCTCAGTGACGCCTTCGGAGGGAAGACAGGATTAAGATAATGGTTGCCTACTATCACAAATCATCTTCCCGATTGTAGCAGACTGGATCATGCAAGAAAAAACTGTGATGAGCGAGAAGATGGGCATACGCTGTTTAACCGATGAAGAGACCCCAGGAGATTTGGATTTCGCCGATGATGGTTTATGTGTAATGTCTAGTGTCGTGCACAAACTCGGAAATGTACAGGCGAAAACTAACAAGTTGGCAGAAGAGGTGAGGCAAGGCAGCCAAGTAAGACGAGACTTCGTTCAGGTGAACGTGGAGAAGACAGACGTGATGAAGATACCGAAATACCACCACCATCACCAAATACGACAACAAGAATCACCGATCACTATAAACGGGAGAAGCCCACCTACCTACCCACCTACCTACCTGCCTGCCTGCAAGGCAGTATCGTTTGAACTACAGGTGGCGTCGGCGACAGTACAGATGAGGATGTAAAAGCGAGTATGGGAAAGACAGTGTAAGACAGGCCTTCATTGGTGTGAAATAATCAGTGTGGAGATCTACTGGAGTGTACTGAGGATGAAGCGTGGACAAGATGCGGATTTTCAATAGTGATGTGAGTCAAGGAAGTGAGTGATTCTATGTGATGGTTGATAGACTTGGTGGGTTACAAAAAGCATTTTAAACGAACTGCAGTCATACATCAACATCTGCCGCCTATACCCACTTGATACTGACGATCAGATAGTGGGGGTTGGGGGGTGTGTGGGTGGTGAGAAAGAATAAGCAAGGAGGAAGTGTAGACTGGTAACGAACCAACCAAGAACGTAATGCCTAACAAGTGTGCGGAAGAAGAGAGTGGAAATGGAGTGTATTATATTTGATTGAAGATAGACTGAGAAGACGTTTTGGGGACATGAGTTGGCATGCCATGCGAGACCAGGCCGTGGAGTGGAGTGGAGTGAAGTGGAGTGGTGTGGAATCCAAATGGGAAACGACTAGTTGGGGGTCTGAGGCGAGGGTGACATTGAGGAGATGGTGTGAGGAAGAAATGAAAACTTGTGTTTGAGTGGTGGAGCCATGTTGGAAATAGTGGAGAGAAGAGAGTGGGATGGTGATGTGCTACTGAAGTGCCGTGTTCCAGTAGGAACTCAAGGGACAAATAATAATAATAAATTCATTCTGACCTTCTTTCAGGCGGTGTACTATGTCAAACTTTTGAGGTGCTTGCTCAGATCTAAAGTGTTTTCGAAATATTACTGTATGTTTTTAGCGCCATTATGAAATTCCTAAAGTCACAGGCTATCTCAACTCGCAATTAAGAGCTTACTTCAATATTCTCTGTGACTTCACATACGGAAGAGGATATACCAGTTATAGTATTCAAACAAACTCTAGCGTGACGTTTACTGTTATATTCACATACACACTAGATGTAATCTGTCATCTGTGAAATTGTTTCCTTGAATAATGAATCCTTAGATATATATGCGCTTCGACTTTTTTCTGCCTGAATTTGTTGTATATTTTACTACTGTAATCAGTGGATCTTGACAACCTGAAGTTTTTAGACTTACCATTCTAGAATGATCAATCAATCCATCTTTCATTGTTGATGTTGTAATTAAATTGTCTGGTGAATTAGAGCATTCAGTTATCAAGTTATAAGCTGCACATTACGCATTGTAGAGTTTACTGTATACAGAAATCTAGACTAGATTGACCCTGAAGTTTCGATATTTTATGATTACTTAGAATTGACGAAATCATTCACTTCAGTTTATCTTCATTTATCATTAATGGATAAATGGTGAAGTTTTTCATTTATCAGTGTTCAATAGTAGCACGCTATATCACGAATTTGTAGAAGCAGGAAACTATGGATCATTGAACCCAGTAGCTGAATAGCTAGATAAGATAGATAGGTAGTAAATGGCATCTAAGTTTGTGTTTATTTAATATAGTCTCATTCAGGTTTCATGCGTTCACAAACTAATATTTAGCTTTCACAATCAAGTTGATCATAATAACTGATGATATGTTCTTAGATTAGAGATTCTCCGACGACCATTTGTTAACATCAGGTTATAAATATGTTCCTGTTGGTCGCCAAGTTTGTTCGAAATATGGGTTATACTGTGTTCTCTGAGCTAAGTTGTTTAGTCATGGAGCTTTCATCGTCTTTCTCCTAGACGACATCATCAGCACTAACTTCAGTGTGAAGTGAGCTGTCAATATCTCTCCGTGAGTGATTCAACAGCTTGCACTGACGAACTGGTTTATGTGTGATTAGTTGTTTCCTTTGATTGTTGTGTAATTGACAGAGTGTATAGATTTTACTGTTGGTTATTTCTCTACTTGACCTCTGACGTTTCTGTGGTTTATCATTTTTCTTGTTGGTTGATAGATTAGGTCTATGTGTATACATCTAATGATTGCTGGCTGGCTTGTTGGTTGACTGGCTGGCTGGCTGGCTGGCTGGCTGGCTGGCTGCTGGCTGGCTGGCTGGCTGGCTGGCTGGCTGGCTGGCTGGCTGGCTGGCTGGCTGGCTGGCTGGCTGGCTGGCTGGCTGGCTGGCTGGCTGGCTGGCTGGCTGGCTGGCTGGTTGACTGACTGACTGACTGACGTGAATGCCAAGCTTCTGTAAATTCTGTGATCTGATTTGTGTTTCGTCTCTGCATCCAAGATTTCTACATTGTTGAAACTGAATTCATGTGCATAGTTGTTATCGACATGGATTAAAATGATCAGTGATGAAATGTGGTGATGTTTAATAGCCGATTGGTGTTCATTTATACAAAGTAATATAGATCACACTTGAAAACGTTTCACAGTGTTATGCATTTTACAGATTTTCATATTTATCATTAATTGCTTTGGCCGTTTTAGACGGGTGGTCACAGTAAATGGAAATCTAATTTTCCGACTTCCAATCTCTATGACGCAACCTGATAAGCCTGCGGTATCTAGTGCATGTGCCCCAACCTTGTGGACCGTTAGCCCACATGGTCTTATGTTCTGAGACTGAGTGTAATCTATTAGCGAGACTGCCGCTCCCGTATCTATCAGACATATGATCTGCCGATCATTCATTAGCATTCTAGCATACACCATACCTTGATCTATGGCTCCTACAATATTTAGTCTAGTTGGAAAAACAGAACTGTTATATCGTTCAGAACGTCTCCTTTTTCGCCTCTCCGGACAGTTTCTTCTCCAGTGTCCAGGTTTTCCGCATGCAAAACACTTACCCTGTATTTTGATATTCATTCGAAGTGCAGGCACCTCTTCCTGAAGGTTGTCGACTTGTTTTTTCCAGTTATTTACCTCTGGTGCCTCCACTGCAGCTACTGCTGTACCCATCAGTTGTCTGGTCACCTTGGCCATCTCACTAATATCCATGGATTGGACCACGTTGACTAGTCGTAACATCTAGGCGATAGCATTCGGGACACTTTAAGTGAACTGTGCAGCTAGCAACTGCTCCTGCGACTCCTAACCCAACGTGGGAAGTGCTCGTCGAAGTAGTTTAGTCAACTTCACAGCCAATACCAGCGAATCTTCGTCTATTCCAAGTTTCGTGCTCCAGAACTGCTGCATCGCCAACTCCCTGTCCGCTGGGCTGTCGAACTCCGCTTTCAGTCGTTCAACCATCCCCTTCCCCTCTCCACGTTCCACGCCGTCATACGCTGCTTCCACTGTACCCCTCAGCAATGTGCCAAGTATCAACACCTCCTGGATCCCGGACACCCATCAGCTCCGCGACCGACTCGATGTCCCTGGGGAATACCTTGATGTCTCCATCCTCGAACTTTTCAGGCCATCAAGTCTAAAAGTAGCGACGTCAACTGAAAGAAGCAAGAAGATAGATATAAAGGATGGAATGTTTATTATCAACAAATGGAACAGTAGTGGTTAAATATAGTATGTCCTGCACTAAAACTGTCATTTGCAAGATATGCTTCATTTCCTCTTCTGTTTCTTTCTTGATTTGCTCTTCATACGACTGCCTTGTTTTTCTCTTGGCAGAATCCTTACCTATTGCTGGTAATTCCGTATGATTTCTGCCACCCTCTCAACATATGCTACTTAAATCCATTCTTATCAGCAACGCCGACTACACTATGAGAAAGTATTATGAAGATTTAGGTAACTAAATTTGTCTGATGTTTAGATTGGTTTTATGATATTCAACGTATAAGGCAATTTAAAAATACTACTCCATTCATAAACGTCATAACTGAACATTCAATAAAAATTCTTATAAATTTGTTTTTATTATTAAAAGTCCTACTTTAATTGTTTTTTTTATATTTTATTTATTATTATTTTAGTATAGTGGTTCTGAATCCCCTTCATCTAAATCTAATGTTATTATACGAAATACGATGAGAACACTCCCTTTTATTGGTTTCTTTTTCGTAATGAACATGCCATCGGTAAGAAAAAGTTTTATTGATTTATGAAATAAACCAATAGGAGGGGGGGGGGCAGAGATTAGATGTGTAGACTATTTATCAATTGTGTACAGTTTTGAAAAAAGTTACCACCACCACCACTGGTCCCAAGTCATTCAGTTGTGTAATCGCTGCGACTCTACCTAGAGAATTATGATGAGTCAAAAAATGTTAACCCGATACAACTATCCTTAATCCTACAGCATCATACGATACACTAGCCACCCCTCCTCTTCTTCTATAAATTCCTAGGGTTAACACACAAGGAACGGCATAGAAGCTGTGAGGATGACTTGCGTAACACACATGTCCAAGCCACCAAAGCTCCGGTGTTTCCAGATGACTTCATTCATTGAATGGCAATCTCCATCATGCCTAAAAATCATTGCTAATTCAATTCCTATATCATATAATAGTAAATTCTGAGAAATGTACAGGCCTGGAAAAAGGCCCGAGGTGGCCAAACTAAAACATGGGATGAATGTATGAAGTGTTTGACTGTTGGTTTGAACCATGTGAGGCGATGCAGACTAGTCGGTTTGGGGTCGGCGGGACAAGAGGAACCAGTGGTTGGGGATTCTAGGGGATGTCAGTGGTGCAGATGTACACACACACATTATCGTCACCTTAACACTATACCGATTCTCACCACTTTATTATTCCTCCTTCCTCTTTTTGCTTACTTTATATTTCTTTTGACTGAATTTCCTTATCTTCATCTTTCACGTCACTACCTTGTTTACTTGTTGTAGTGATATGAGGTGTGGTGGGAACTCGGAAGGTTACTCAGCAATGCCTGGTCCTATGTTGATATTGATGGTTATGATGATGACATTCATAAGATTCAGATCAACTGAGTGAGTCAAAATCAGTGAATAAGTAAAATAAAGAATATTATCCAATCGATACTCGATGATGATTGAAGGTATAATGAAAATCTTGGACGTTTGGGTTACTTCCTCAGTGCTTTTCCATCTGAGTTATGAGACTCGACTACTGACTAATTTTTTATTTCATTTCAATCATTAAGGGTTTCATCAGACTGCCATATGAATTCGTGAAGTTTTATGATATCCACACTAGCTTACCGAGTCAGGAATTCTTATCTCAGTCCAAATCTATGTGAATAAAAGTCGGAGAAAACTCTTTGATGAATGAAGCGAAATAAAAAATCTGGTCTTGTAGCTCATTTGGTAGGGAACCATGCTGCTAACGTGGTTCGAGTCCCGCCTATTGTCCAGATTTTCATTTTATCTTTAATCATCACTTAGTCAGTATCAATACGAGTCTGCTATGGCTATCTCAGATAGGCAAACTGATAATTATGTAATTGAAGGAAGATAAGGGAGATTAAACTATAATCAGCATGAAAGTGAGAGATAGAACTCATTTCCTTTCTGTATACAAAGGACAAAGGATTTGGAAATGATGGAGAATATTTGTAGCTCAGGAGGATAATTTTAATGGGATTGAGTTCTCTGAACTGGATTGTTTAATCGTGGAACTTTCATTGTCATTCTAGAGATACCATCATCAGCACAAACTTCAGAAAGAAGTAACCAATAAGATTCTCTTCGCAATTGATTTACTAGCTTCTCTTCATGACCTTGTGTATGGTTGGTTGCTGCTACTTAACTCTAGTCATTATCTTCGTGTTGATTTTGATTGGTTGTTCTGACGACCTGAACTATGACCTTCTTGTTGTTTCTTATTGGTTGACAGATTGGGTCAATGTCACAATATATATGTTTGTTGATTGCTGACTGACCTGGTATTCATTGTATTTCCTCTATCTAGGATTACTACATTTCCCTAGTGAAATTCATGTTTAAAATTGTCTGTAGACGAATGCGAAGAGAACAGCCATTTCATATGATATAGTGTTTTTCAAATTTTTCGCAGTTTATTTTTTGTCTTCTTTTAATAATGTATCTTTTGACGTGCATAACAGAGACTGAAAAGATTTTGTGGGATTATGAGATCTAGCAATTCAATAAAAAATTGTGGAGTTTGTGCTAATGATATTCTCTAGAATGATAATGAAAATTCCATGATTAAACAATCCAATTCAGAGAACTCAACCCCATCAAAAAAGATTTGAAAAATATGAGAATAACGCGGAGAATAATACATTTTCACACCTCCGTTGATATTAAAATGCTCTAAAGATTACCAAGGAAGGTTTAAGGTAAGGACAAATTGTTTTTGAATATACAAAAGGGGCTTTGAACTTTTGTATAGCTAAGGCTTTACTGAACCTAAGTATACGGTCTTGACGATTCCTATACAATGGTATAAAGGTTGTTTTAAAGTCAATCCTGTGTCAACGATGGCGTCTGTCTACCCCCCATGTATTTATTGGATTACTTGACTGTAATTATTTTTCTAACCATTCGGGAGGGTTGTTCTCCACCACCCACGACTTCATACTTGAATTACTTCAAATTTATATACGCTTCCTGATACACTATCGCCTATCTTATTATCCCTGATACTACTGATCCATCTGCGTCAAACTGTGTAAATATCAAGAGATAACATGAAGTATGTAGCATTGGTCAGTAAGCAGACAAAAATTTGAAATCAATACAGTTGAACAAATGTTTCAATTATGAGTTGTAAAATAAATGCTACCACTTTTTGGTGGGTCAATAGCCGATGAAATCTCTGCACGAATACAAAAGGCTCGGCTGGCTTTCACCAACTTATGCCACCTATGGCACCGTCATGATATCCGATTGTCTATTAAGGGTCACGTGTACTACACAGCAGTCCATTCTGTTCTACTGTATGGCTGTGAAACATGACCATTGAAGGTAAAAGACATGAGAAGGTTTCAGATGTTTTACGACCATTGCCTTCGTAGTATGGGCCGTCTTGTGTGGTGTCACCACATGAGTAATGCAGAAGTCAGATATAGAGTTTTAAGGAGTGAGAAGAGGTAAGTTAGTTGACATGGTTGTGAATCTTGATCGACTGAGATGGCTGGCTCCGACATGTATCACATCTGCCTAGTCGCCGATTGCCTCATCACACAATGTTGGCTGAAGTAGATTGAGACTGGAAAAAGGCTCGAGGTGTCCAGACTAAAACATGGGATGAATGTATGAAGTGTTTAACTGTTGGCATGAACCATGTAGGAGGGGGGTGGTGCAGACTAGGTGGTTGGGGTCGGGGGACAAGAGGAACCAGTGGTTGGAGACTAGGTGATATGGCTGAGAATCGATGTGAGTGGCGCAGATGTATACACACATTATCCTCATCTTAACACTATACCGATTCTCACCATTTTGTCACCCTTTCTTTCTTCTCGTACTTTATATTTCTTACTTCATCTTGCACCTCACTGCCTTGTTTACTTGATGTACTGATATGTGTGGCAACTCGGACTATTACGTAGTAATGCCTAGTCCTATGTTGATATTGATGATGATGATGACTTCTTCAATCTTTGTATCACCCCACATACATGTAAATTGGTATACACAGAGAGACTGTATGTCTTTTTAATAACTGAATTAAGCTTTCATGTTAAGTTTATGCTATTTCTAAAGTTTGTGATGATGATTATGATGATGTCTCTATAATGGCAATGAAAAATTCCATGACTAACGAATTCAATTCAGAGGAGTCAATTCCATCAAAACTGTCTTCGTGGACTACAAATATTCTCCATCATTTTCAAATCTTGTATTCTCTAAAGTTATTTATCTTACCCCCCCCCCCCACCTTATTTTTATCCTTCATATATAATGTGATCAGATTGTTTGAGATATATTGCGGGTATACAAAACATTTCTCAGATAATCTCTGTCTTCTTAATACACTATACAACTTCTTCTTTTCAACAGTTAGGTGTTTATTTCTTTCAATTTGTTGGTTTTCATACTTCATGATAAAACTCTAAGGCTATTCATTCTCTTTAAGACATTTCTAGTTCTTTCTTGTAATGATATGGTTTTCTCGTTCACTCAATGATCATATTTTATTCATCGGATTAAATTGACTAACTTTATCCAAGAGGTTTAATTGAAAAACGTTGGAAGATTATGATAGTGAACTCACGAAATCTTTAGTTAAAGAAAATTTACACGAAGAATTACTTCAAAACCCTTAAAAGCAAATATACAATTTACCAGAAAAATAATGTAAATCAAGGTGAAATCAAAGGCTCTGTGTCGCATCTAAAGGATCCCAGTGATAAAGACGAGTTTGGAATCCAGCTAACTTTATCTATAAACTTTCAAGTGAGACAGACAGAGAGACAGTTAGTAGTATAGCTTTTTAAACAATCTCTTTGTGTCTATTCTATTCACCTGATATATTTCTCTAGAATGTAAATAGGTTAAGTTTTGAATTTCAACTTGATTAAGACTAGTTTTTGAAAGTCACATATTATACTTTTCCGCAGCTTTCAGCGAATTCTTCAGAGATCTTTGAGTTATGATTTCACGAGTTTGTTTTCATAATCTGTTCCCCCCCCCCCACGCTCCCATCTTCAACCTCTCCATTACATTATCTATAAATTAGCAATTATTTAATGTACAACTCATGAATTTTGACTTTCTCTCAGTGCTGGAGAATATTTGTTGCTCAAGTAGATGGTCTTGGTTGTTTTGTGTTCTCTGAGCTAAGTTGTTTAGTCATGGAGCTTTCATCGTCTTTCTCCTAGACGACATCATCAGCACTAACTTCAGTGTGAAGTGAGCTGTCAATATCTCTCCGTGAGTGATTCAACAGCTTGCACTGACGAACTGGTTTATGTGTGATTAGTTGTTTCCTTTGATTGTTGTGTAATTGACAGAGTGTATAGATTTTGCTGTTGGTTATTTCTCTACTTGACCTCTGACGTTTCTGTGGTTTATCATTTTTCTTGTTGGTTGATAGATTGGGTCTATGTGTATACATCTAATGATTGCTGGCTGGCTGGCTGGCTGGCTGGCTGGCTGGCTGGCTGGCTGGCTGGCTGGCTGGCTGGCTGGCTGGCTGGCTGGCTGGCTGGCTGGCTGGCTGGCTGGCTGGCTGGCTGGCTGGCTGGCTGGCTGGCTGGCTGGCTGGCTGGCTGGCTGGCTGGCTGGCTGGCTGGCTGGCTGGCTGGTTGACTGACTGACTGACTGACGTGAATGCCAAGCTTCTGTAAATTCTGTGATCTGATTTGTGTTTTGTCTCTCCATCCAAGATTTCTACATTGTCGAAACTGAATTCATGTGCATAGTTGTTATCGACATGGATTAAAATGATCAGTGATGAAATGTGGTGATGTTTAATAGCCGACTGGTGTTCATTTATACGAAGGCGAAGAGGGTGATATTCGGTTTGTCTTCTTTGGTTGTTGCATTTTTTGGTCTGCATAATATGATTTGAAGGGAATTTGTCGGTTTATGAGCCATACCAATTCCAAATGGTCTCAGTAATCTTGTTGTGATTTCCGATTTATCCTTTATGTATGGTAGGATGATGCGTTTATTGATTTCTGTCGTTGGCTTTGTAGTTAATGATGTATGAGATAGGCATCTTGTAATAAAGTTTCATGGATAGCCGTTCTTCTTTAGAAAAGACATCAAGGAATTTTCCTCGTATCTCCGTGAAGTTGTTGTACTGCAGTATGTGCTTGATCTTTTGAATAGAGTCAGCACGCAACTAATTTTTTGCGTTGTTGGGTTGTTGCTACTGTAGTTGAGGATTTGACCAGTGTTCATTGAGTCCCTGTTCACTTGAGTTTCCAGCTTTTCAGCATTTGTTCTACTGTCTAAAGCATTGTGAATTTGATGCCATTGTAAAGATTGTTGAGCAAACTGCAATTGTTTTCTAAATCATCTTTTTTAATGATGACAAAAGTATCGTCTACATACCGAATTCAAATTTCTGGCTTAATCAACGACAGAATGATGGCTTTCAGTCTCTATATCACTGCTTCTGCAGTTAGTCTGGATATCAGTGGACCCCATTGGAGCTCCTTTCATCTGTTTGTATATCTTGTCATTGAATTGGAAGTATGTTGTCAAGCAAAGGTCTGTGAGTTCCATCAGACGTGAACATTTAAGTTTTATGCTTTCTGAAAGGCTTATATCTGTGTGTATGCAGCTGATGAGTATTCGTGAAATAAAAAGACTTCATCGTGTTGTATAAATCTAATCCGTTTCGCTTTATCCAACCTTTTTTTAAAACAACCGAACGCGTTTAATACCTGTTGAATCCAGTAATGTAATGGAAAAACTTGGGCACTATGGTAGAATATAATTCCATATTAGAGTATTTATTTAATATAGCATCACAGTAGGAATACAATATTATTGACTTGATGACGTTTCGAGCAGAATTCATCGGTCATATTCACATCTCAAGGTAATAATACAACTTTCACACTTCATTTATATAGTCCAACAGCTCTTCATTTATTTATTTTAATGGTAGTAAAAATTTTCCAGATATCTGCAATATATGTGATAAATCATTCCAGTTACTTGTGTGTTGATTCAATGAACAAGGATTCTCTGATCAATTTCGCCGTACACCTAAGTTTGATTATAGGTCAGTGCAATGCAGAGCAATAGCCGAGTTGTTATCTAAATCACCTATCTTAGCAAAGTCTACCAGATCAGCTGCTGTGACCTCTGTACTTGACCCCAGAATCATTACATGGTATCTGATAGATTATTTTATTTTTCTTAATTTCGGCTCTATTGGATATTTTAGCTTGCAAAGTTTCTCTCTGAGCTAATTTGTGGGTTTCAATGCCATCCTAATCCCAGACAGCATTGTTAAAAATTCTGCGTAGAATTTCCAATGCACCTGCTTTATATGGCAACATTACAGAGGATGTAAATTCCCTCTTAGTTATGTTGTAATCGTCACTAATACTATCACTATTTCTCTTATTCAGTCCTTATCAACCTTTTGATAAATTCCTCAAGATAGTTATTAAGAAGTAGCGTCTCAGTGATGTGTATTTCATTTTCGTATATTATTATTATTATTATTACTTGTCCCTTGGGTTCCTAATGGAACATAGGGCTTCAGTAGCACGTCTCCATTGCACTCTATTCTCTGCAAACTTTTGAACCTGGCTCCACGACAGCCCAGAAGCTTTCATTTCTTCCTCGCACGATCTCCTCCATGTCACCCTCAGCTGGAACGCCTAACTCGTCGCTTCCCATCTGGGTTCCTCTAGAGGGCCTGACGCGTGATGTCCCTAGTCGGTCTTCTCAGTGTATGTCCAATCCATCTCCACTCTCTTCTTCTGCATATTTGTTGGGCGATCGGTTCTTGATTGGTTCATTGCCAGCCAGCCAGCCAGAGTTCCTTGTTGCTTATTCTTTTTCGGCATCTTATCTGATCTTCAATATCGAGTGAGCGTCGACGGCAGCTGTTGATGTATGATGTCTGTAGTTTGTTGGAAATGCTTTTTGTGACACGCCAGGTTTCTGAACCATATAGCAGCACTGACTTGACTAAATTGGTGTTGAAAATCCGGATGTTGTTCAGGCTCTGTGCTGAGTGGAGATCTCCACACTTATTTCAGGTTAATGAAGGCATGTTTTGCTATGTTTCCGATCGTGGTTTTGACATCCTGGTCTGTTTCGCCGCTGCCTGTATTTGAAAGGATGCTGCCTAGGTAGGTGGGTAAGTGAAAGAGACTACTTCCTTTAAGTTTCTCCCGTTGATGGTGATTGGAGCATGTTGTTGTTGTTGTTGGTTGGGCATCTTCATCACCTCTGTCTTCTCTACGTTCACTTAAAGGCCTGTCTTCGCTTCCCTGCCTCTTCTGTCAACTTGTTAGTTTTCGCCTGTAGATTTTCAAGTTTGTGTGACATTAGACACAAGTCATCACTGGTGAAATGCAAATCTTCTAGGTTCTTTTCGGTGGTCCAGCGTATCCCCCTCTTCTCGCTGCTCACTATTTGTTGCATGATCCAGTCCACTACAATCAAGAATATCATAGACTTTCCAATTTGCCAGTCAAACTCCTAACCTGGCTACTTAAATATTTTATCGAGCCTATTTTGACAGATATAGGGTAAGATGATGTAAATATCCAATGTTAACTTTTCTACCTTGTTCATATATTTCAGATAAAAATAGAGATGAGTTTGGTAATAAAAACGTGGAGTTATCGATTCTACCTAATTCTATCAAGTGTTCGAGAAAACTCTATCGAACAGTTATTCCTGTATAAAGGATGATCACCATTGCCATGGTTATACACCAAATCATCACCAAACTTATCTGATTTATATTCTAAGATGTGTGTAATCATTATGTGCTGTAACCATTATTATTTCTTATTGTTTTGTTAATTTTTTTTTCATTTTACAACAGGCCTTAGTTTGGTACTGGACAATAAGCAACGCACTTTCCCTCATTCAGTCGTTAATCCTACGTCAAAGCATTGTCAAATCCTATTTCAATATACCTATTCAAGCACCTATTCCTGTACTAAAAAAAAAACGTGACTTTATTAGTGGTTTCAAAGAAAGTGAGTAAATGTATATCTGAATATGTGTTTCCATTTGATGTTATAATCTGTTGATATCCAGATATTTATCAACTAATATATTATATTAAAAAAAGCATATCAATTCATTGCTTTTCATCATTGTCTATAGCGTTAGTGATTCGTTAACTTAGACAATAAAGCTTGAAGTATCCTAATCATAAGTAAGGATCTCAACGAGTTTACTTACTTACTTACTTACTTACTTACTTGCTTACTTACTTACTTACTTACTTACTTACTTACTTACTTACTTACTTACTTACTTACTTACTTACTTACTTACTTACTTACTTACTTACTTACTTACTTACTTACTTACTTACTTACTTACTTACTTACTTACTTACTTACTTACTTACTTACTTACTTACTTACTTACTTACTTACTTACTTACTTACTTACTTACTTACTTACTTACTTACTTACTTACTTACTTACTTACTTACTTACTTACTTACTTACTTACTTACTTACTTACTTACTTACTTACTTACTTACCTACCTACCTACCTACCTACCTACCTACCTAAAAGTTCCCATTGAGGAGACGATGTAACTCCTTATTGTTACTAGAAGCATACTTGGAAATCACTTCTGAAGCAACAATTTGTATTTGGGTGGCATAAAACACATTCCAAACATTCTTAAATTATCCTTTAAGATGTATGGGAGATTTTTGTATCTTGTCAGCATCTTCATTTAACAGGACTGCTCCATCTACGTACTCCAGATTAACCAAGAATTCTCATGTGATTTGATCATTCCCTGTGAAGTTGGATGACGAGACGAAGTCCTCTATAAGGAATGTCTGTGACAAAATTGAACATAGTGCTTAGGGAATTTGTTGGTTACAGAGTTGGTCAAGGTGGTGGCTGCACCTGATTCTTTTGTACGCATAATTCAGCATGTTTAGATTAAATGGCTACCGCTTCTACTATTTAAAGTATTTAGTGTCTTTCTACATGCGAAATATTCCCATTAAATAATGAAAATTAATCAATGATAATTCAGCGAAAAACATTTTCTTTCCGATGAATCATTTTCAAAAGATATGCATTTTAATCAGCAATACATTAGTGACAAATGGGTCAATACAAGGTCGTCAAAGACGGTGAATAAGGTCACACGGTGATAATAACTAGAAGGTCAAATCAAGGTCATCAAAAATTTATTATAGGATTATAGTAAATAAACAAAAAAAAATGAATCAACTATCTTTGGGAGACTACACCCAAGGCAAAACTAGAGGTTGAACATATCTTCTTTGAACACAAACAGCAAGCTTATAATGCTGGATTGCCAAAGCTTCTGATGTGTTGAGGTTGGGGAATATACACTCGCTTCAGAATGTTTACCTTCACTTTACAAACGATTTTGAAAAAAACTGTCATGGAGCACAGTGACCAGTGGTAACCAAAGCCTCAAGAACCAAGCTGTTGATGGCTTTATACTGTCCTTTGAACAGCCAATGTAGGGTAGTGTTCGAAGATGCGTTTGAATAGAACAAGCTTTTTGAGGTCTATGTAATCAGCTCGACACGAGGAAGTGAATTGGTAAACATATATGGAGGTGGTCCAAGACGGTAGTTTATTCTTTACACATTGAAGAAAATAATCCGAAGCTGAGCGGAAAAGGTCTTCTTCAGTGTCTTTTCAGTATCTCTACCAGCGTATCTCCCCTGAATGAATTCAATATTCATAAACAATGTCTTCTTTGGAAACCGTAGGGACTTATTCTTTGAAATACTTAGGCTTTATGTTCCTCTTAATGAATCGTGAAGGATAATCATTGTTGACTAACACTCTTCGAAGTATTTCCAACTCCTCATTTAGCTTTTGGTAAATTGATGCAGCCACGGTAAATGGATTGATTCATATCAGCTTTATAATCGTTTTGGAACAGAGTGAGCTTAATATCAAGGCATCTACATTTTTCCCTACACCTTTAGTTAGCCATACTTGGAGGTGTTCACGAGTATGAAAAATCGACTTCCTAGAACGTTGGCCAACATAACTGTCTCCATAGCAGCACAATAAGAAGTAGCCAGCCCAGAGTATTTTATCTTTCAGTTTCAATAGCACAACTAGGCGCGTAGGAAACACCAGCTGCAATTTTCACAGCATACGAATTATTATCTCATATAGTGCTTATCCTTTAATTTGTATTTTCAGGTAAAGCAGTATGTTGGTCAAAGTTGAAAAACATTTCTGCTTTCGTTGTAAAAATACTTTTCTATGAATTTATCTGGATAGCCACTCTTAGTTAATGTGTTACACAAGATCTCTAAATGTTTATCGATAGTATCCTCCGAAGGTTATAGCTCTTACTGTGTAGCTGTGGGTGTTTACTAGATTTCGTTTATATTGGAGAGTTGGGAGGGGGGGGGGGAAGAGGAGTTAAGCGAGTGTTATATATCGTCCTGTCCATGAACTTTTCTTATCTATTAGTTCCTTTGTAGCTATTCATATAGTCTTCTTGAAAAGAGAACTCCCAGATAGACAGTTTTATTGTTTGATTTCTCCTCACATGTGGATTTTATAATTGGATCCGTTCCATTGAATCTGTCTACTTTGATATCAATGTTTTCGCATCCACATATTCAATAGTGGTAAATTGAACTGATACACTAATGTGTTAGGTTCTACGCTTATTTTATCTGCCTGTCAGGTTAACACTTCAGGCGTATTCAAGTTGGTAATACTAGAGAATGTTTGATTGGTTTTGAGAGGATTTACATCTAACCAATTGGTCATGGGTTCGAACCCCGCTCCACCTACCTACCCAGGTTTAGGCAGTCAGGAAGTAACATCAATAGCTTTCACACAATAGGTATAGGTCACTGTCTACTATAAGAATGTACATAAGGCTATAGAGCTCATTTCTATTCGATTTGCTTTCTTTTTTACTTGTTTCTGTTAGAGGGGAATATTCATAAATAAAGATGTAACACCCAAAGTTATCATCATACTTTTATTTTTGGTGGATGTTAACATCTTTGATTTTGTTTACAAATTCAAATGTGTATTTCACACTTTAATTGGACTATGTGTACATATAACCGTTTCGAAGTAAGAAACAAGCCAATTCGTTACAGTATTATGACACAATGAATTTTGTATACCAAGAATCGACCTCAATAGTGTGCCTGATTTATATTATTTAAGTCAGTCTATACAGTTTCAGTTTGATTTTATCGTATAAGCAAGCTGAAAGGGATTATCTGCTACTGTTTCAATTTCCTGTAAAGATTTAACCAATTCCTTGCGTATTTCGTTATTTAAGTTCTTTTTAACTGCTACCAGTTATTGAAATTTGAGTCTATCCTTCAGAATATCATCCATTCTGTTTATATATCTCCCTTTTGTTAAGAAGAACTACTCTTGTTTGACGATTTTAAGGTTATCATCCGTTACCATCAGTTGGAGGAACATTGGGAGCACTGGCCAACTAGCTGTTTCGTCCTAGCATGGGACACCTTAGCAGTGCACACCCATGACCTCGCCAGGGACCAAACTCGCGACTTTCAGGTTCTATGGCCAGCACGTTACCACTAAGCCACCGGGTTGGAATTCAATAATCCATATTTCCTGCTTCTGTCAGTTCACGATATAGCGCGACCTACATCTAATGTCGTTTTTAAGTAACTGTCCTCATGTTCGACTTTGTTGATTCCACTAGTCACAACTCATTGGAACTTCAGGAATCGCCTCTCAAAGTTTCAATGAGAAGTTGTGACCAGTGGACCGAACCTGGTGGTTGTGAGGAAAAATATCCAACGATGGGATTGGGTGATGGTCAGGCTATGTCGTGAACTGACAGAAGTTGGAAATATGAACCGTCGGTTTCTTACCCAGTGGCTCAGTGGTAACGTGCTGACCACGAAACATGGATGCCTCGGGTCCGATCCCTAGCGGAGTCGTGGGTGTGCACCGCTGAAGAGTCCTACACTAGAACGAAACAGCTGGCTATCCAGTCCATGATGAGAACCAACTTAAAATACTCCCTAGTCCTTATAAATCACCAAATTCAATTTTGCTAATAGGCTTTCTATGGGTTTTCGTTAGAATGTTTCTGCATGTACACTTTCTGTTCTTATATTGAAAACAACAGTCAAGCAAATAGCACTTGAAGGATCCCAGTTCAAAATTGAAGGAAGACATCAGGTTAACTATCTGAGTATACATATTTTCGATTTGAATGTCTTTATCTGGGTGACTGGTATAGTCACGTTCATCAGAGAATTTAAGACCTAGAGACAGTACCATTTCATCAACAGCTCTCAACCAGTGATTCTTATCGTCTTGAGAACCCCAGCCAGGCAATCTACACTTCCCTACATAGTTGAAACCAACATTCACAGACTTCATGAACTCGTGTGACGTTTTTGTCTGACCATCGTGAGGCTTTATTCAACCTAATCCAACTTCATCTAGCATGACACGTCGAAGTGAGTGGTGGCTTGGCATACCACCTCATAGCCTCATTGAGTGACTTTCATTTCTTTGCCTAATACCCTTCAATTAACCTTGACATTGCTCACACAGTGATTTCACCATACCGGAGCATTTTCGTGAAGATATCTTTAGTCAAAACTTGTGATCATTTTATATCTTCTACTTTCAACAGCCATGTCTTACATCCGTTATATGAGGACAGAGCAGTATACTTGTTTTTTGGTAGGTAGCCCGCTTGGGCTGGTTCAGCTTCCCAAATAAGTAAATTGGCCAACGTATCCCACTACTTGATTGCCTATTCTTAAACTGTAAATAGTTTCAGACCTGTCCTGGAGCCTCATCTTATGTTTGACAGGTGCAAAACACATGCCAAAGATAGATTTCTGTTCAACACCTTCAGAAAACGCAGTTTTTTGTCAGTGTCTTCGTATAGTAGGACACTATCGTCTGGATACTCCAAGTGGACCAGATAATCTCCAAGGAGTAGATTAGTCAATGTGAAGTCAGACAGAGGTAGTGCCGTCAAACTCGTCTACTTCACTGATCATTATTTCTCTATAAGGAGGGAAATAAGTCTTTTCGTGCTTGGGTATATCTCGTCGATGAAATGTTGTTAACAAATCCTACAAGATCTGATTATTATTGGCCAACAAAACCTTTTAGAAAATAATTCATCGTATGATTTTCTTTGGTATTAATACATTCAACTATTTAATGTGGTTAACTTTTGTTGACTTATATTAAGTGTCAGTATTTTGGTTACTGTAATCCTTTTTTTTTCCCTTTTGAAAGGCCTGAATAATTCTCGTCTTCTTGCTGAATTGGAAGCAAGAGAACGATTAGATGCAAAGAATTGGCAAGATGCTGGTCGCAAAAGTGCTCCTGTTACATTTATTTCTAATCCAACGGAACTAAAGATAACTGGGAAAAATGGTTAGTGCACGTACGATAAGGAGGCAGTAAATTAAGTGTAGTTGGATGTCGATACTCGTGAATTTCCAATAATAAACTAACCTTCCTGATGACTGTTGTTTCTTATAGATTTTTGTATACGCATTTCAAATGTACACTTCACATATTTTCAGTAGGTTTTTCTAGCTTATTGTCTATTCAGGGATATAGAAAGATTGTAAAGAGACATTGATGTTATTGACCAAATCTAATGACAATCATATGTATCAAGTTAAGTTAATCACTGACTTGCTAAAATGATTTTGTTAGTTAATTACATTCTGGGAAAGACTAGAAGATGTTATAAAACGTTCAAGATGCGAGAATTACTTGAGCTCAAGGGGATTACAACATTCAACTAAAAGTGACCGAACCATAGCGCCTATACTACACGTCCAATGTTACTGTGAGGCATGAGGATGGGGAGGTGGAGTATACAGTGACCAAAGAATATTGGGATAGAATGTCCATCACGAATCATTCATAAACTTGGATTTTATTCCATGTGTGAACATTTATGTAATATCCAGTAAAATAAAATGTAGGTCTCTCTTACTTGACCAGAAAATCTGTATCTTCCCTCTTAAGAAGATTTTATGCTCCCATTCCCAGTGGTTTTAATCTCAAAGTAAGCAAAACACCTCAAGTTCAGTTTACAGTTATGACATACACTTCACTTTAAACACAGTGGACACGAAGATTCCTGTATGCAACTCTTCGATCAAATAGGGAGAGAGAATTGAATGCATCTATAGAGAGGTTAACTGGAAGTAGAAGTATTCAGCATTTCGTATGAACACTGAGAAAAGTTGACAAAAACTAGGGGGCAAAACGAAACTAAAACAAGCTTTGCACCGTTCCCTAAATAAGCCTTCCCAAGCTAATTCCATTTCACGAATATCGTATACATGTGTGCTGGCAGTTCCACATAGGTTTTAACACCAACTACCCCAAAACGCACGCTATGGACTGTGAAACTTTGGATTTTATACTATTACACACAGTTTAGTTTGTTCACAAGGCATTATTATTTGTCTGTTGGGTTCCTAGTGGGGCAATTTGGTCAGAGTTGTGAGAAATGCGGTCAATTACTGGCGGTGGTGGTTTATGTTTACCAACTAACTTCGGCTTGTTGGAGTTCGTGCACACATTACACCAGGGATGCGCTGATGTACATGCAGTTGGAATATCGGTCGTCTTAGACTCAGAGAAAGCATGACGCGGAGACATTTTCAGTCAATCTACTGGTTTCAACTTAGGTTGTGTAAAAGACGAAATATTGGTTTTTGAGGCGAAAATATTTTTATGTGAGTTCATAGGCTCATTATTGCTTGAATGAGTCTCAATGGAGAGACAGTTGTGGGTAGGGCTGTCAGCGGATAGAGCTAGGTTATCGAGCTTTTCGTTCATGACGGCCTTATTTATGTCAGCACCACGATGTTTCGTTGGGGAGATAACATTCGAACTCGAGAGATCTAGGTCAACAGCCTACTGTCGCCTAACTGTTTATCCTTATGAGATGACAAAGATTTGAGGTCATGGATGAGTCAACTGGACTTATGCCTACTTTTTGGCCTATTCGCTCACTCGTGAGATCAGTAGCAGGCCCACTTTCCGCGTTATCATGTGGGAGTTTTTAAATCGATCAACGACTTATGCCTTTTGGCCAGCTGACTAGAATTTGGCATAAGTCTCCTAACTGAACATATACGTTTACTAGGTTTGGCCATCGTTGTAATTGTTTGATGTGAAAGTTTCGGAGTAATAATAGCAGTATAAACGTTGTTCAACTGTTAATATCTGCTAGTGGATGGAAATGAGATACGCGGAAGTCAACAAATTTAATAGACACACTAAAGATTAAGAACGTCTTAGACTTCTCTTTGTATTCTTCAGGTCTAGTAGAATTCCTTCAACTGAATGGTTCCAAAAACTACAGTAGCTGTGCTGAAGTTCTTTTATATATATATATAGGATTGGACCTAGACACGACGTGATAGGAAAACATAAGGGTGGGTTACTAGGTTATACACTAGTGCGATGAGTCAGAAGACAATCCCAGATGGAATCTGTGGACAGCTGGCAAGACCCGGCCTGTTAAAGTGCGTGATTATCGAACAGTGCACAAAGGAGGCTAGCAATGCGACGGCAAGAAACACGTGACGTTGGGTCCATAGAACGCGAGATCGGTTGGTTGTTGGCGGTGCTACAAGTCGCTGATAGACTCGTTTTGCACGTCGTCTTTCACGCTTGGCTGCAGCGTGAATCTGTGTTGGGCTTTTGCGTAGCCCAGTGTTGATGCTCAATGCAAAAAAAATAACACCGATTCAATGTAATGCGGGTGTGCGAATATTGGATATGCAAGACGGCGAGGTCCTAAAAATACTTTAGTCTTGTACGTCTATGGTTGCTGTGTTGTGGGCACACGTTGTTTATAAGGTATCCGCTTTGCCTATTTGAGACTTCACGAAATACTTAATTGTCTGATAGCGAGTTCTCTGAACCATTACAAATGGGACAGATTGCATACAAATTCACCTGTGATGATTTATCTCACTTTCAGGTACTAATACAAAGGCAGCTTGATACAGTGTCCCCATGGTCAACTGCCCGGAAACTTTGCTCCATCACAGGTAGATGTGGCTAGATATGTCTTGGTGCTCCGTCGTTAGACACCTAACTGCATCTCCGGCCCACGAAACTGCATGTTCTTGGGTGTCCATGGCCTTTGGCTAAGTTATTCAGGTCACCCCGCATTTTCTGAACAGGCAGTACCACAGACTAGCAAATGTAGGATATCAGTGGGTTGTGTAGTCCCTAATTTTCTTCTCAAAGAAGTCAAGTTACTGCACTATAAACTTGCGCGCCCAATATTAGAACACTGTTCATTTATGTTATGGTATCCGCAACAAAGATAGACTAAAAATAGAGGGATTACTAGGGTACGACTGCATACAGGGCCCTAACTCCAGATACAGAACTCTAAATCCAGAACCACTTTGGATGACACGACTCAAAATTAATCTGACATCCCTTCAGTGGGCTGCACAAATTTACTTTCACAGCCAGTGGTGAGTGTCAGCTCGAACACAGGAGACGTTACGACCTGCGTGACCACAAAGTCCCAATGAACCTGTTTAAATCCTGCTTGCCTGCAGATTTCCCCGCCGTCGAATCCTCTGAGACGTGGAGCAGACTTCCTGCTAAAGTGAAGGTTGCCAAACCAACCTCTGAAGTTAGTTAGTCACCAGTTAACTTCTTACCACCTGAACACTTATCTGGCTCGTTGTGCTCACTAGCACTATCCTCTATGATACTTCATATATATGCCCTCTTGGTGTGTAATGGGACTTCCGCCAAACATGCACTGGCTTTTCATGCGAAACGTTGAACTCCATAGCAAAGACCACAAGGAACATGCTGCTCGCTGGAATTCCCGTTTCTTTCTCTGCCTGCTGCCATGTTTTTGTCTTTTGTCGTTGTAGAAAAGCAGTTCAGTCCTAATTGTTGACCCAGTTGTCATCAAAAATTAATTATTCAATGGACAGACCTTGGCCGAAACTACCGTCCATGGAGGGTGGTTAGTGTTAATGCCTCCACAGTACCTAACTACGTTGCAGTTTTACACTTTAATTTCAACGAATATGAATCATCATGATGAAACTGGGGTGGGTAAGCGGAATAAAGACCGAAGCAATCAAACGGGCTTGAATGTATGGATATCTGAACACCACTGTCAAGCGTTGTAGCGGTTGTTCCGCTTATGTATCCTAAATGTCCAGCGGTTACCTATCACGCTCGCTTCATAGCCTTTATATCCAGATCAAACCATAGTTTACCTCCCCTACTACTCTGGTAATTTAAGTTCACCCAGTTTTTCCAAACGATCTTTCTTACTTTTCAAAAATAGGCGTATAGTCTCCTGTGTTAGGGATGAAACCACTCCGTTAATCTTTGCAAAATCATAGGTACTTCACACATTTCAAAGCATAAGCAACCTAACCACTGGAACTTCGGGGAACCTGCCGTTAAGCTTTCCTAAATAATACCCCGTTTGGCTCCGAGGTCTATTCTAGAAGCGGTATTAAACCGCGAGGCTTCTAGTGTTCATTCTTTTATTCAACTGAAATCGCTTACTCACCATAAACCGTCAGAAAATTATCTAAGCGCCTAGCGCATCAAAATTTTAGGCGGAGCAAGAATTCCGAACTAATAGTGAGAAGCAAATCGCTACATCCAGATGAAGGAAAGCATGAGCAGTCCCTTAATCGTGATCCCTGAGGAACCTAGACTCCGGTTCATACAAAATGACGAATCGAAGCTTTCAGGATTGACATATTCCTTCCGTGTCTAACTCACTGAGGCACGAAATCACCCTAATGTATATGAACAATCAAAATACATTATCTTTGCTTATTTAGAAGACAAGTAAACGTATTGTCACCTCCAAAGCAAAATCTCCGTCACGGAGTGTTCAGGCAACTTGCTCTCATCTGCTAAGTGCTGAAGTGTCTTAAGAGAGCAGTCTTACTCTAACGACGTAGACTAAGTCGACAGTAGCATGCCTTCAGAGATGAGACTTAGCTAATCATAATCGCATGGGAGCATACTGCGCTCTGAACCAGTACCGCAAAGGCGAACAAGTGCCTAACAAACGCCGAGCTGAATTGGGTATTAACACAATGTCCCGTTGGCTTCAATGCAACCGATCAACACAGTTGAGAAACAAGAAGTAAAACGCAGCAACTTCAGATAGGAATTACTCAAATTATGTGGCATACCCGACACCTGGTGTGAGCATTCACGACCATGTACAGCCGTGCAATAATTGTGAGGTCCCATAGTATCCCTGTTTGGTAAATTATCTGAGGCCATGAAATCTACCTAAAAACCAGAACGTATCCCGAAAATGCATTTGTTTAAGCAGACAGATGTAATGTTAGGCAAGACAGTGTGTTAACGCAGGGTAAACGGGAATCAACGTGGATCACCAAGTCTAACAAACATCAGGGAAAACTTTATTTATACCAATACTTCAAGAGCTGCTGTCAAGCTACCATCACGCACAAACGAAAATTTTGTCCACGCATCCATTCAAGAGGGCGGTTCTTGATCTGTGCATGGTCTCATCGCCAACTATCTTACAAATAGCAGCAACAACTCCCGGAATAAGAAACGGTTTTAGGTGCATCGAAACGCAACATTCCAATAGGTAGGTATGGCAACAGCCATACAAAGTGTCTGGTACTAATACCGCGTGATTCAAAACCGAGTGGTTCTAAGATAGGCGTTTGTAAGCGTGTTAACGGTGGACGTTTGATCAAGAAATCACATGAAGTGCGGGCAGTTAGCAAACTTGTCATTGAAAAATACCAGTGTTTTGAGAGGTGTTACAGCTTCCGTTTATCCCGAATAGCCTTGTAGACATGAATATTTTGATTTGCCCCGGGGTTGGTTAGCTGTCACAAGAGAAATAATTTATCCGTTGAATCCCCCTATGTTCACCCTATAAACTTTGCTATACCTATAA